AGTGGATGGCCCAGCTGTGCTGCTAAAGACGGACCACTTCAACAGGCACACCCCCCTTCCGAGCCCAGCGCACCAACCTCTGCAGCATGCAACATTCACACTGGCATTACCTTGAACTTTATGGAAGCATGGGGAAAAGTGAATGGCTGCTCAAGCAAGATCGATTTCTTGTTACCAACACGAGGCGAGACTCTTTACCATAAATGACAGGACACCTCGAAGCACACACACACACCGACAACCGAGCATCTGAACGCACAACAATTTAAACCCTACTGACAGTGTACAGTACATCGAAACATGCACACGCAGAAATGAGCACACACCTGAAGGCACAATTATTGAAAACGCAATTGTAAACGATGAGCAACCATACCAATTTGTTGTTTTTGATTAACCATTCCAAAATACAATGTTGTTCTGGTCACATTGCTACACCATAATGGGTTGTTGGGCAATGCAATGCATCAGAGCTGAGTTGCTTTAGTGACTATCTTCGAAAAGTATGAGTCATTAAAAAAATCTTGTTTTTCAGTGATTTTCCTAGAAAGGCTACATTTGGCATAAATCAACTTCAGGAGGCAAGACCCTTTTCCCAATAACCTCCCCTTGGGTCCCTGAAAGAGCCAACTCCCAGAACTGCCATTGTGATGATTTCTCCCTAGTGCAGCCCAATACAATACAATTTGGATGTATCGTCATCGGTTTGGCATGGTCAATCAACTGCTGGATGAAGGCCTCCCCAAACCAAGTATATACTGTAGCATCTAAATGCAACTCCATCTCAAGACGCTGTAGAGAAACAATGGGCATACTTGTTTTACGATGTATCGTTTTGTTGTTGTCATGCCCTCATTTAAATTTGAAATAGGGTTTGTATTTGCCAAAAGTCACAAGGATTGCATCTAACTTTTTTTTATTACAGAAAGGTAGTTGTAAATATCCATCCCCCACACTCAAATAATGAACGGGTGTAATTTAGTTAAGAAAGTGTCGAGGCAAAAACAATCTGTTAACAGAACTTTATTGGTACCATGTGGCTAATGAAAAGCCTAAAAAACACATTCAATATTTTTTTCATCCTATAAACCGATGACCTTAAACATTTTGTCTCTAATTTTATTCGGATATTAAAAGTGTGCTAACATCCGTATAGCACATAACTGCTTTCCTGTCTAAATATCTCCAAAATTATCATCATCATCATCATCAGCCATGATCAATCCACTGCTGGATGAACGCCTCCCTAAGCCCACCGCCATCTCCCACGATCGAGTGATGCGACCATGTCCCTAGCACCTGCACACAAGCAGATTTGTCTCCAGACTATCAATACAATTTAGGGTCCAGGGGAAGGTAGTACGATAGGAGGCCAGTACATTATATGACCCTCGTGTGACCTCTGTGTTTGGAAAAGGCACTCCCATTACAAAGCTATAATTACCTTTCAACATAATTGACCACATGCCCGTTTCAATAACAACAAATTAAATAATGTTGTACAAAAATGTTAAAAGGTGTTCTTCTCATTGAAGAAATGCGTGCCTAATGGATACGTAAAAAAAAACCATCAAAATATTGACAATGCCTTGAAGGAAAATGAAAGAGAAAAACAATAGTCATGTTTGTTGGTCGTCAGAAGACTCCAACTGGGCATGATAATATAGACTGCAAAGACTCAGCACCTTTGTTGATGCTGTATAATCCCCTTGGAATGCGATAGGGCCTACATTAGCCTTTTGGTCACCACCTAGGTAAACACATTTTGAAACAAATCTCCGCAAATAATCCCAGGTTATACGCAGGATCCATACGCAGATGTCCACAGAAATAAAACATTTCAGTACGTAATTATTAGACTTGCTTCTGTGGTGGAAAAGTGGGTGTTCGCGGAGTCCACTTTAAACCAGAGCATCTGAGTTTGACTCTAAGCCACAGCTCTGAACATCTATGGCGGAGTGATATCTGAACCAGTCTGCCCCCCCACCCCAATACCTTCGCCATCCTGCAAAACGAGTGTGGTGAATATTGGTCAACGACCCTCAAGACCGAGAGGCAAGGGAAGGCTTTCATCATGCGGTGCTGAGGGAAAGGCCTGTACATTGTCATAATATATGGTTATGAATGGCAACCACATTTTTTTTGCAACATTTAAACATGCACCGCTGGGGAAAAAACTGTCTAAAGCAAGTAGCTACCATGGCCGATGCAACAAAAGAAGAGACGTTGTGGCCAGCAACACAATTTTACAAAAGTCAAGCGACAAAAATAACACTTGTTGACATCACTGCTTAACAAAAACAACAACAAAAACATAAATAAAACTGATGTTTTGGAAATAGATTTTCTTCAGAGAAGACAGATCGGCTGACTTTTTTTTGGAGATCACGCTTTATACAATGTATGGACTGGAAAAAAACCAGGACGTTATAAGGAAGTTTACATTCGAATTACTTTGAATTCACAGGAGCAGTTTTCCATCACAGCGATACGTTCTCCATTGACTCTGTTACTTAATGTGTGGTACCAATCTTCACCCGAGTCATACTTGCAGTGGCCCACACCAAGACTGCGATGCAATGGTCCGCGAGTATGCACGGTCATTCACCACAATCCACTTGCCCGTGACATCGTGCGCATGTACTCACGAGGTGACTAGGGTACATTCGCGTGCTCACGAGGTGACTAGGGTACATGCGCGTGTTCACGACGTGACTAGGGTCGCGTGAAACTGTTGGAAGCTGAACAACCCACCCACCCTCTCTCGGTGACTCGAAAACATCGTCACAGTTCAAGCATCAAATGTGTTTTTGTTGTTGTTGTTGTAATATGGTGACCTGTAGTGGCCTCGGGTGGCTGAAAGGATCACATTAACCCAGTACAGTAAAACCTTGGATTGCGAGTAACTTGGTCTGCGAGTGTTTTGCAAGACGAGCAATTTTTTTAAAATAAATATTAATTTGATAAACGAGCGAGGTCTTGCAATACGAGTAGTACATGTATACGCTTTGTCAGCCGAGCGTCATGTGATCACAACTGATATACGAGTGCTTTGGATTACAAGCACGTTTCCGGAACGAATTGTGCTCGCAATCCAAGGTTTTACTGTATATACAACCTCAACTTCATCAGCCATGATCTATCCACTGCTGGATGAACACCTCCCCAAGGCGTCACCTAAACTCGCGTTCTTTCCATGCAACCAATGTCGCACCCGCGCACGTCCCAAACTGAACAACAAAACGCATCGATCCTGACACGAATTAATGGTGCACGTATCTGAGCGTTTAAAGAAAGCACATGTAATCAATGAAGCGATGCACCGCTGCCTGCGCCGCTTGCAAAACATTGGCCAAAAAATCCAGAGATAATTAAACAGGAGACAGACGTTCATTTGGGAGTCTCATTCATTTGCAAGGAGCTTGGTAATTCCTACCCACTTGGGGGTGGGCGGATTAGAGTTTGTACTTTGTTGGGAATAGCTGGGGGGGGGGGAGAGTGGACATCGGGTGGGACGAGTGAGGGGGATGGGGTAGCCACAGACAAAAAAAAAACCAAACTCCCCCCCACCTCACTATCCCCAAAAAAATCTCATCAATGGCCACAACCACTGCTGCTGCTGTTGCTGCTGCTCACGCGAAGACCGTATGCTGAACCCACACACGTGTCAGCACAGCCCGGCGAATCATTATTGAGCGCAGGGAAAAAGAATGTGCAGAATTACAAAGCATGCCTCATGTTTGTTTTAAAACAAATTGCGTAAACACGGAGAGGAAATTGTTTGGGTTGAAATTGTCTGTGCGCTGCGTGCACGCTGTGGTCTGGCATGTTAAGTCGCTTACCTCTAACGAGTTCTTTTTATCTGTTATCAATAAACAGACCTCCTCAAATATGTAATTAATGTTCCGTTGCTACCCAAATCGCTTCCGACCTTCTACGGCACGGAGTATAATTCTTTTCCGCTTTTGTGTTTAAGGAGCAAAAGAAGACTAAAGTGCTGAGTCTGTGAAAGTTAGAGTGTGGGTGTAGGCAAGTTTTAATGCAAACCACAGCAACAACAAAAAACCTCTCAACAAAGGACACCAAGGCTTTGGTTTACCTGCTGGAGAGAAGGGTTTGAATTTCACACTTGTGTTTCACTCCATTAGGTCATATCCTCGCTTTGTTTATCTGTCGGTTTTGGTTTACTGGTATATGTGTTCACGTTTGCGTTCAAATATACAGCAACCTCACTCTACACACACATTACGCATGTGTGTATATATGCAGTATGTTGAACTTCTTTCGCACCGTACGTAACCAAACCGTGCGAATTGGAGGTGCGGGGAGGACTAATGACAAACGAAACACAAACGGCGGTTCTAAAGAAGTGAGTTTTTTTCAATATAGATACAAACACACAACCAAAATCGCCAAGCTGCCGTTTGCAACAAACATAATTTCCTTTTGCCGGTGACGTCTCCCCATCAACTTGTTGGGGACGTTTGTAAAGTGAGTAGCAGCCCCTGTTCATGCGAAGCAGTCGCAACTTATACACAAAAGACAAAGATCCCCCGTATAGCCTGCACAGACTGTTGGGGCAAGCGCTGTTCGCGAGCACCTAATGAAGGCCGGCACTGCACACGACAGGGGCGGGTGGCCAGCACCACGCCCGGCCGCCTTTGTCTCCCTAGTGGCAATGTTTACACATCGCACAAGATACTCATTTGAGGCCGAGTCGACCTACGGGAGGCCCACACAAAAACACACGTGCAACCATCCAGGTGCACACAATCCGGATGTTTGTTGTTGTTGTTGGCATGGAAAGTGCAATGCTGTAACAAGTGGAAGCAATGCACAAGCGCGCGCACGTACACACCACACACGCGCACATACACACACACACGGCCGTACATACACACACACGCGCGCACATGCACACGCGCGCCCGTACCTCGTGTGGACAAAGACAATCAGGCGCAACACGAGGCGACCAACGAAGAGTTTCAAAGGCAACTCACCTTTTCCCTTTTCCATCACAGCCCCTCGGCTCGTCCGTGTCTCCTACGGCCGGAGAGCTCTGTCCACTCACTCACGCTGCCACTCTCTCACTACGCTTGGCTCTCCTTCACTCCTCGGAGTCCGCGGGATAGGGATAGGCTGGGCTAAGCCGCTTTGGGGAGGGGCAGGGTTAGTCGTGGTGGTGGATGGAGGCTTTGGTCGGTCTGGGGAGGGTAGGGCGAGCAAATGCAGTCTCACCACGGTTATCTTGAGCTCGACAAACACCCGGGACTTCGGGAGCATGTGGCAATGGATCGCGTCAGCCACAGGTTATTCCACTTAATCGCAGCTTCGCCGTGCAGGGATCTCTTAAGTCTGGTATTCCCTAAACGGCCACCAACTCCTGCCCCACCAACTCGCTCCCCCCACCAACTCCCCCTCCCCATCAGCCCCCCCCCCACCAACTCCCCCCACCAACTCCCCCCCACACACCAACTCCCCCCCCCACCAACTCCCCCCACCAACTCTCCCCCCCACCAACCACCCCCCCCACCAACTCCTCCCCCCCACCAACTCCCCCCACCAACTCCCCCACCTACTCCCCCCACCAACTCTCCCCCCCCACCAACTCCCCCCCCCCACCCACCAACTCCCCCCCCACCAACTTCCCCCCCACCAACTCCCCCCCCACCAACTCCCCCCACCCACCAACTCCCCCCACCATCTCCCCCCCCCCACCAACTCCCCCCACCCACCAATTCCCCCCACCATCTCTCCCCCCCCCACCAACTCCCCCCACCACCAACTCCCCTCCCACCAACTCCCCCCCCACCAACTCCCCCCACCCACCAACTCCACCCCACCCCCCCCACCAACTCCACCCCACCAACTCCCCCCCACCAACTCCACCCACCACCAACTCCCCCCACCCACCAACTCCACCCCCCCATCAACTCCACCCCACCATCCCCCCCCCACCAACTCCCCCCACCACCAACTCCCCCCCCCACCCACCAACTCCCCCCCACCAACTCCCCCCCACCATCTCCTCCCACCACCAACTCCCCCCCACCAACCCCCCCCACCAACCCCCCATACCCGAGAGCCCGACTCTACATGGCAGCGACTTAGACAGGGCGATCCTCTTCTAGACACGCCCCCAACGATTACTAATTGACCCGAGAAAAATCAGAGCGGCGTTGTTGGACACAAAGTGAATTAGAACAGAGGGGTGTTTTTTCTTCCAAGATGTAATACTTGCATTGAGATTGGTGGAAGATATATTTGCATTTTCGAGGCTATTCAATAACGCGTTTGCCCCAGAACATCTCCCCTGTTATCTGGGTGGGATATCTATAAAAGGATCACCCTGTCACAATGGCTTCTTGTCTGCTATCACTAAATCTCTCGCAGGAATGCGCGCCCAGTCTGGTCGGATCTCGCAAGCTAAGCAGTTTGCAGCCTGGGTGTTGCTGTTGTTGCTGTTGTTGTTGCAGACCGTTACGTGTTGGACGGGCAGAGGGACAGTGCGGCAAAAATCCATTGTTGTACCCTACCTCTATGCGCCCATGCCTTCGCTAAGTCGAACTGACTTGCGTCGTGAAGTTATGATCGACTCCTGATCCACCCATGATGTAACCGCGGCCCGCACGGGCAGTGGAATGACAAAGGGCGGCTGTACACACACGCGGCAACTGTGTCGTCGCATTTAAAGGTCACGTCGACACTAGCCATCTTCTCTTCTCTCGACTTGAATCGTTTTCCTTGTGCGTTGGCGCACGCGCGTGGAAAAGTAGACCAATGCCATCTAAGCGGTATTCCCTCTGGTGAAGGCCCTCCACCGGCAATTGCAGGGCTGCGCCTCTAACTGATGATATTAATTCCAGTTACAAATTAAAAACTCTGGAGTCCATCAGCCTATTGGCTTTCACGAGCACCGTTAACTCTCAAGCAGTATTTGTTTGAGCAATCAAACTCTGGGCCGGTGTCAACAGTCTGACTCTCATCATCAGCAAAGTCACGCTTGTTGTCCTTGTGATGTTTACTTCATGCTTGCTGCGTAGGCATATTGGCACGAGACAGAGAAAAGTGGAAACAAATGACGCAATGTGCAGTGGACACCCACGGGCTATCTGTCCACGGACCGTGATGATGACCACGATGATGATAATGATGAACGGGCATGTCAGATCTGTGAGACCGGATAGCGTCCTTGAGTGTACGAAGTTCTCCGCTGTGTTTTCGGGGGTTGCATACCACACGAGGGGCATCGGTAGTGTGACGAAATTCACTTCTCTGATCGCGTTGCTCTTTGCAGTGCATGGCTTTGGCCTATTAACGATATCCAACGAGGGTTGAAAGCATGGATTTATCTGCGTCCATCTGTCTGTCCGCCTGTCACGGGAGGGAGCGGTCGAATGTTGCACGGGTAAAGATGAATCAACGTGAAGGAATCTCAAGTAAGGTGTGCTACAATTATGGATTTACCCGATTGCAACCTGGCCACATTTGTCATTCGGTCTAAAATAAAGAACAATCCACATCTCTATATGCAGCTAATGCCTCCAAAGTGCATTACTTTTCTGTTTGTGTTCCTTTTGAGGTTGGTTTGCCTTATTTATTACACTTTCTTTCCAACAAAGGCTGAAAGCGTGTATGCATTAGTTATGTCCGTCCGCAGCAGCGAAGGGCACAATAACTCTTGTAAAGATGATCTAATATCTCAATGCATTTTGAGTATAGAGTTGTGTGGCCATCAATGAATTACCATATTCAAGTCTGACAAACTCAACGCATTCATCAATTCTAGATTAGAAGTTTTCGTGACTGCAAGGATTCATACTCTTTGTTTTTTTCGGTTAAGTCACGTAGCGTAGATACAAAATTTTAACAAATTAAATCACGACGTTTCGGGAGCAACACAAGCGTCCTTCTTCACCTGGACACAAGTGTCCTTCTTCACCTGAAGGACATTAATCAATAACACTGCATTGGCCCCTCTGTTTCAATGCACATTGAAAACCGATCACATAGAACAAAGCGATCCTGATGACTTACAACTCCCCCACCATAACCGACACCCGCCGCTGGTAATAATCACCCCACTCTTCAGTGGCGTAGTAATCAGATGATAATCAGCTCAGGGGGTGCGGCAATCGGTCACGTGGGTGCCCCGAATTGATTTGTCTCGCACGGTCGCACCTCGAGGCTACATCGCAACGTCACGCTCACGGTCTCGAGCATTTCACGCTGTAGGGGCGCTCCGTCTTCGCAACACGCAGCCACCCACGGCCCCGTCTCTCACGGTGGTTGTCGAGGGGGCCCCTGACCCCACGCTACTGCCACTCTTTATTTCAACCACGATCATCCTATGCACGATTCTAGTCGATGTTGTCAAGCGCCTTGGAATAAGGCGCTAAATACATCTGTATAAGATGCGGTCGGCTGCACAGGGACCCTGCTGAGCAAGACGCATGCCCATGCCACGGCAGGTGAAAGACAGGAAGACTTTCTCTATTTGCAGTGTTAGGCTCTCCTATCGTGGGTTTGTATTGTTTGCTGTTGTAACTTGTTGACCCGTCCATTCTGGATATCTGTGGGAACGAGCTTCAGAGCTCATTCCTACTGCAGCCCAAAAAAAGATTCCGAGGCGATGAGCAATTGATCCTCAATGTCTCCGGAGAGACCATTCCACGCGTCATCTTGATGTGGGGCGCCACGGTGCTGAGATGTTAACTACCTCGTCTTGTATGCAGGAGGTTGTGGGTTCGATCCTCGCCGCTGACGCCTGCTGCTGTATATTTTAAGTTTGCGTGTCTCTCTCCCCCGTGGTCGCGTGGATTTGTATCCGGGTCCTCCGGGTTTTCCCTCCACACTCTTTGTTTTTTTTCGGTAAAAGTCACGTAGGTAAAAAAAATTAAATACATTAAATCACGACGTTTCGGAGGCAACACAAGCTTCCGTCTTCACATTGAAAAAGATGCGTTTCGAGTGTCTGGCTCACTGGCTGCTATACATCTCCACATGGTAAGCCACTTGGTTGAGCTATCATTTGTGGCCAGGTCGCTTCTGAAAAAGAGCGATAGAGCTCAGCGGGTCTTACCTGGTAAAATAATACAATATTTCCAGTTTTACGATACAGGTTCTTGCTACGATATGGATTACCTCATTGTGTCGGCAGACGGAGTATTAGGGCAGGCACCAACGAGGATAAGCTATCAGCCAAACTCAGCATCCATGAGTCAACAGTCACCACAAGACAGCTTGTTTTCGTAATTTATTGATTGGCTTCATTGGCTTTGCATCGTAAAGTTCCTTTGGCAAAAGTTTCCAAGTGATTCATTTCAGTGTGATTGCACACTTTATAAACACTCCACCGTAAGGGTTAAACCACAGGCTGTCAAAGCATGCACACAACAAGAGCAAAACAAGACATGGAAAAACAGAGGTCACAAGAGACAAACGCACATCCTCTCAGTCCCAACAGTGGCTAGAGATGTAATCAGCAGCAGCCGTCATCTATCCACTGCTGGATGAAAGCCTCCCCCAAGACGCCGCCATCCTTCGCGGATCCTGTGACGCAACAAGCTTCTCGTATCCGCACAACAAAATCAGGCTTCGTTGCTCCGTCTCCGCCATGGACGCCCTCTAGGGCGCGTGAGTTCCTCTCGCTGGCACTCAGTCGCTAGTCGCCTTCTGTTGACGCGTCCAACCCATTCCTAACAGCGTGCTTCAGCCGCACCGAACCTCACAAAATAATATCCAGGGCCTACCTTGGCTCCACCAGTATATATACAAGGACTGTTTTCTTGGAATTTCTCTCACTTGATACAGCTATCGTGCTGTGACGGTTCCACCTTGAAGACGGAAGCTTGTGTTGCCTCCGAAACGTCGTGATTTTTATTTTATTTTTTATTTTACTTTTATTAATTTAAAATTTTTACCTACGTGACTTTACCTAAGGATAACAACCCAAGCCCGCTTCATATGACGATGTCTCTAAACCTGCGTGTGGGTTGTCTCTAACACGCTCGCCCCTACTCAGCGTGCAGTCGCCGCGACCCTCACCAGGACGAGCGGATTGAGTAACGAACGAACCGACGTTTGCACGTTTACTGCAACGCGCCTGTAACGTTGGTTGAAACCGGTGCCGATTTCGAAATGTCATTGGTCCCGAAGGCCCATTGACTGAAGAACCTAAATTTAATGTGTTGGTGGTGAGACGTCGCACTTGTATAGCTGTGTATTTATGTATTGCCTGTAACCAACCAAGGCGTTGCATAACACAATTCCCTAGGGATGATCCGAAATTGAGGACGACACGTTGACAAACACGGCGAGGCATATGTATGCGTTGTACATGCAAGCACAATACTCTTGGGCAGAAGTAAATGTTTGTCAACAGTGGGTGAGGTTGACTTATGTATCTCGAGTACTTATAAACGAGTGAGTTTTTAAGTATTGTAGGACGACATCAAGCACCGCCACGGCACGGCGAGTACCCGTTTAATATACGACGCACACAAACAGCCTCGTTAGCATGCGGACGTCCGAAGAAGCGATGGATGGACCGAATAAAGGAAGACATGAAGACGGTCAACGCATCCCCTGAAGATGCCCTGGACCGAGCCAAATGGAGAAGACAATGCCGAAAAGCGGACCCTGCGCCACAGCGGGAACAACGCTAGGAAGAAGAAGAAGAAACAGCCTCGTTAGCATATCCACTCGAGCAGTGGTTCAATAACCTAGGGTGCACTCCCTGGGGGTGCGAGATGCTCTTCCTGGGCACGTCAGTACGACTACTTTGTTTCATGAAACCTATGTATTTATTAGGGGCCGTCCATAAATGACGTCACGCACCTATGGTGGGGGGGGGGGTCAGACATTTGTGACGATGTGTGACGAGGCGGGGGGGGTTTGAGAAATGTGACGTCACATCAAAATGCGCAAATTTACATAATATAGACAACACGTTCTACTTAATTAAATAGACTTTTTAATAAATGTTTTCTCCTACAACATCAGAGTGCAGCGCCACATTAAATACGCACTACAATGACAATAGTTTAAAGCGATTGGAAGCATGTTTCATTTTGGGGGGGGGAGCAGAACGTTGTGACGTCATCTTTGAGGAGGGGGGTCTGACTTTTTGTGACGCCGTGTGACGAGGTCGGGGGTGGGTCAAAAATCCTCCAAAATTGCGTGACGTCATTTATGGACGGCCCCTTAACATTATACAAATATGTAACGACGATTGAGAACCTATAAGGTGCAAGGCTGCACTGAAGGTTAAGAATCACTGCACTGCACTGCAGCTATGCCAGGCGCAGCTATTCCAACACCACTTTCCGTCACTCACGAGTGGCTTTGTTACTACCATAGGCTGTTGAAACTCTGCCTACGCGAGCACTGCGAGTCGTGTAATAACAACAAGCACAGCCCACACCCTCGGCTAATGGAGGGCGTGTGACAAACCATACATCCCGAGCTTACGTGATCACACCCTGGGCAGCTTTTAAAACCGAAGGATTAAAAAGCAAAGTGTGTGGTGAAGTTATTCGCCTACATTCACGTTTGAATGTGCGTTTCACACGGTAGGCGGCACCAATTAGAATTTTTTTTTCCCTTGATAATGCCACGTGGAAAAAAAAATAATAATACCGAAAACAATTTCATATCAATCACTCACTGCTAAAAATAAGGACGACGTCTTTTGACAGCCCCTCCAAAAAACCACAATGCCAAAATATGAGCAGTGGAAACAGCTCAGAAGCGTGACACGCAGGCACGCCAAGCTGCCACGTGGCTTATGGAAACCACTCGCAACAGACGAGAAAAAAACACGAAGCAAAGTGACTCCAGCTGAAGCTATGACGTCGGTCAGTTTCATCGTCAGCCATGATCTATCCACTGCTGGATAGCGGTCTCGTCAAGGTGTGGCCAGCTATCGTGGTGTGCGATGTAGCAATCTACCGGGCTTCAGGACACGAGCTTGATGCTGGCTCCCATTGTGCGTCACACTGAACAGCATGCCACTCATTGACATGCTAATTTCTCTAACCCCTCCCTCTCTCTCCGCCCCCGCCCCCTCTCTCTCTCTATTTAAGGCCTCGACACAGAGACGTGGTTTCTCTGTGTGCCGATGTACGTATCTCTCTCTCTCTATGTATCTCTGTGATATCTGTCTCTACTTATATGTCTGTCTATATGTCTCTGGTTCTGTGTTTTATCTCTCTTTCAAATTTAGCATTCTCAGGAAGAACGTAATCAACCAGGTAGGGCGTTGACTGTTATGTTATCCGACTCTCTGTTGTATTACATTACATTTCTAAGTATACTAGATTTGTGTTTCTATTTCATTTATACCTGATGATGATTGCTTGTGTTGCAATCGAAACGTCGTATGCTAGTATTTATTTTTTTATTTTCTCTTTATACGTGACTTTACCGAACGAACCAAAGAGTAATTCCTGCAGTCACGAAAGCTCCAAATTAAGTATAGAAGTTGTCCAATCCATGCGTCCCCTGTCTCGCAGTATAATTCCGAGCGGTCACCTCTCCTCGCTTTTTTATTGAGAATTTTACAACTTTCGTTTCATCTTCTCTATCTGTCTCTCTCCGATCCATACCCACGTGTTTTTTGTATCCATGATCATAGCACCTACTAGGCATCGGTCGTAAACGCCTCTTCTTCAGCCGGTTACCGGAAAACTCAAGCCGTGACAGACACAGAGCCAAACGACGAGTGGCCACGTGACAGCCACCGGTTCAGTAACTCAAACCACACCACACACACACAGAGAAAACGTGTCATTGGGACCTTTTTTGCCAGAATCAAAATATATGAAAAATAAGAATGTGTTTACCTTTCGATTTAAAGCTTTCGTGACTGCAGGAAATCATCTACTTGGATTTTTCGGTAAAGTCACGTAGAAGGGAAATAATAAAATAATAAAAATAAAAACTTAATTAAATAAAATTCTCACGACGTTTCGACGCTGTCTTTCCGACAGCCCTGTTCTTCACCAGAGGACGGCTGCTTGCGTTGTGGCCGAAACGTCGTGAGAATTTTATTATATTATGTTTTATTTTTATTCTTTTATAATTTCCCTTCTACGTGACTTTACCGAAAGAACCAAGAAAATGTGTTTACCCTTTCTGACAATACAACAGTTGCGTTAAGATGTTCAAACACCAAATAGAAACCTTTATGCAAGGAATCAAGTCTGCATGAACCACACACAGTGCTTGTGAACATTCAAACAACCTTTTCTTATTTTTCATAGACAGAAAGTGTGGTCTGCGCGGAAACTGCTGTCACTCGAACCGTGACATGACAGGACAAATTCAAACTTGAATCAGTACAACGGACAGCTGACAGCGACGTCAACCACGACGCCGACATGACACCAAGTGGCCTGCAATACCTCGCGGTCTTGCGAAACAACAATCCATGACAGAGGTCTTCATTGCAAGGCCCGTGCGCCACTGGCGGCCCTGGTGGTCTTCAGTGCGGCCCCCGACAAGACACAAAATTATGAAAACACCTCCCATCAACATCATCGTCATCGTGCTGTCAAACCCCAATGGTTTCAAATGTGTGGCGGCTCCTCGAACTGATTTCTTATCGGCGAAAGTGCCCCCCCCCCCCACTAAACCCCGCTCTGAAAACGAGTTAAGAACACCGATCCACACGGCACACGAGCTGGTTTCATTGCTCTGTCTCGGCAGTGGTCATCCTTTTGCGCTAGTCCCCCCTCTCTGGCTGCCATTCCGTTACTAGTCTCGTCCACCAGCCATCGCATCTTCACGTCCACTTAATATTTCTTCGCAGCAGTCGGTATGATCTTCTTGGTTCTTTCGGTAAAGTCACGTAGAAGGGAAGTAATAAAATAATAAAAATAAAACATAATAAAACAATTTTATTTTTATTATTGTATTACTTCCCTTCTACGTGACTTTATCGAAAGAACCAAAAGATGAATCCTTGCAGTCACGAAAGCATTAAATCGAAATTTTGTCGGTATGATGTTACCCATGTCTCCGAGCCTCATTTGTCATTCCAAGCGGCCACCACTTCATGCGCTTCTATGCACGCGTTGTCGCGTTTGCTCCGTTTTCTTGATCAATCTGCATCGCGTATCTCTGATCCGTGTCTTGGCAGGAAATATAAAATAAACGTTAATAATGAAAAGCGACATCCCGTTGTGACCCAAAGAAGCATGTTTTAATTCGCGTATGTTACCCGCAGTGACACACTTGCACAACTATGAATACATGAACACCCACGTAGCATCGGTGCATAATGCTAACTTTCCTTTTATTATTTTCGCAGATCCAAGCCGTTGCAAAACAAACAGTGAAATTACAGAGTTTGAGACAAATCAACTCATTGTTCAGTCACTTTAGATACGTTTGAAAATACAGTTACCGTACGCATAGAAGTCTGGCAAACGAAACGGAAAACCCAACAATTTTAAATGTATTTCTTTTAGAATATACAATACGAACAATTCATGCTAGCATGTACAGCGGAGCTAAAATATAATGTAATCCACTTCTAAACATCTGAACGTAAGACAGCATCATTATCCTAGTTTGTCTGGGTTTACGAACAGCTTTAGTGTAAACCACCTTGGCTTCGTCATTATTCATGTAATCATGCTCTGACAGCCAGCGCTGCAATCGAGATGCTACGGTTGATAAACAGAGACATCAAAGATCATTTGCAGTGGAGAAAAGGATCGTCATTATGCATACGCCATCTCCAAACTAATTGATAACCGTACTCATCAAATGGAAAATGCTTCATTTAGGCTGAAGCGTTGGTTAATGTAAAATTTCCATGACAATTCCACTCGGGTAACAGTTTATTTCCACCTGTATTTAATGTAACCATCATGCTACGGCAGGCATTGCGAAACATTTTTAAAAAAAGGGAAATGCCCAGTGTGGCTTATATTTTTCCCGTTGTTAGATTTTCCACTGGCATACATCGGAAATGCATTTTTGCATTGAAATTTATCAAAAGCCCAGATCATGATATACAGAACGTGATTAAGTGGTTTCTTGACAGATTGAGTGTGGGGTGGGAACCAATCTTCCCGTTCACAGCCCTCACTTAACCAGAGGTGGAAATTTCACATTTCTCGTTCAGGACTAGGTCCCACCCAAGGACACCCACTGTTGACTTCCCCATAAGGTAGTCCAGAACTAAATCAGATCCCGCAGGCATGGAGGACTGAAACGCCACACCGTATAGTGTACACATCAATCGAGTTCAACTTAATTCAATCCGATTCATACTTAACCACTTTATACTTGGCATCAGAAATCTGCGTTTGCACTTTCATCCAAAATAAACTGTAAGGTTGTGTACTATAGGAACTCGGCAGTATTGTATGTATCCGTTCCTCAACATTAAGATGCAATTGAAAATTCGTATTGAAACTGCACATTTGAAAAAAGTCCATATGGACTTTGCAACGAAGCTACTATAATGTCAATATGTATTCGCCAAGTGTGTATGCGTAGCCTGTTTCAAGCTGGCCTTGTCAAACAGCATTATAATCGCAATTACAAAAAGAAATGTCATTAAAAGTGTAAATCTACATAACTTGTGAAATATTATAGAGTTCAACCCCAAATATGTATATGTAACAAACGTTTGCAATTTCCAAAGTAAATTCAACACACTCGGGTATAATTCAACGGGGTTTTTTTTGTTACACGTGCTGCAAACTTCTCAATAAAGTATTTAAAGGCCTTAAACAGCAAGATAAACACTCGTCTTTGTGCTTGTCTGACGACAGCATAGTGAGAGCGTGCAGTGCTCCAGATAAGATGCATACCGTGCATTATTTACGGAAAAAAATATAAATGAAGTATCCATTATAACAATAGTATGCATATGCATCGCAAACGTTGCCACGCATTTTGAACTCGCGTGACAGAAACAGCGTGGAGGAGTGGTCACGTGATCCTTGGGTCCCTTGAAGAGACGTTCGAAAACTTACCCGGGATAAACTGCACTTACGCATCTTCTTGGTTCTTTTGGTAAAGTCACGTAGAGTGGAAATAATAAAAGAATAAAAATAACATTATTTTATTATGTTTTAATTTTATTTTTATTATTTTATTATTTCTACTCTACGTGACTTTACCGAAAGAACCAAGAAGATGAATCCCTGCAGTCACGAAAGCTTTAAATTGCACTTACGCGGTTTTCATTTATTTTGGAGTAAAAAAAAAACAACCGAGGTTTTATTTCTTCCTCCGTATTGTGGGCTGTTATCGTAAGACCAAATTTAAGTACAAGAGTAAAACAATAAACATTACAGTGAGTATACAAGGTTCTACTTCACACGTAACCCCATAAGTGAGCATTCAAGATTGTACTTCTTCATCGGTCAAAATTAAAGGGGAAATTACTCGGGAGATCCACGACCTTATCTGGAGCGCTGGCAGTGCTGATCTTATTTTAAAAGGCTTTGGAATCAAACAGACAACGCATCAGAGTAAAGCTCACACGTAGCACAGAGCTCGCATACAGTACGCATAGAACTTAAGTAAAAATCGCCTTAATAAATGGTCCACTGGCTCAGTGAGCAGGCACTCATCCTATTTCTGTTACACACAGTCAGCAAATCTCCTTCTCCATTGCATTGTTGTCGGAAATTTCACAAACCGGTTGCTTTCTGGCTTTGTCAAAATCTGCACGAGCGTTATTGCAATGACTCAGAGTTGCTCTGCTTTCGGACTGGTCTACTGTGGTTTGTGCCATAATCTGCCCGACATGTGCCTTGTCACACTGAACTGCCCTTCAAGGCAATCATGGACCAAGCTAAAACAAAAATTGACGTTTTCCACCGATGTCAACGTGTATTTTGTTTAAATATGTATATGCACAGTTTAGCATGTACGCCTAGTGTCGAGATGATTTTGATCCCGTTATATTTTAAGCTGGCCGATATGTAAGAATGTGTGTCTGTGTATATATACTGGGACTTACGCACACACGTAAATAAATTACTCAATAAAAACGGTGACGATCGCGTAAGTTAATGCGTTCCTCGACTGGGAGTAGGTGCTGTGTAGTACGAAGCATTGTATGTGCTCATACCTAGCTTTTTCTACCATATGTATGTACACGGACTAGTGTTATCTATAATAAATATGGTGTACTATATCACCAGCAATATTTAAATATTTCAATAGTACATATACGAAAAACAAGTCCTCGTGTCCTTAGCATCCGGATTAATAAATGTTTCCCAGTGCAGGAAATGTGTTTTAAGTGCTTTGTTTATGGAAAACAAAACCAAAAACCAACACAAACATTTTCAGTAATTCATCTGTTAAATTATTACACACGGATGCCACTTTAATGTGAGTTTTACGCACCTCCAAAAGAAGCGAAGACACACCCGTTATATCTACGTCCTACCTAAAACGTCGCACCTCTCTTTCGCAAGGTTACGTCTCAACGCCACGCATCTACGTAATGTATGCCCCATTACCGCCCCCCTTTTAAAGCTGCGAAGAGACGCCGGCAACTTTTTACTTCATTGGCCACATTAGCTCGAGCCATTGGTCCACCTCACAGTTGGGCACTGGTCGTGACCTCGTGCCGATGACACGCTCACCCCCCCCCCCCCCCCACACACTTATTCTCACTTTCTCACTCGTCTCGCAACACTGACGGTAGCACCGACTGCCGGCGAGAGCGGGGAAGGGAACTCGGCCGTTGTCGGATTCCGACTCGGCCGTTCAGCAGAGGTCGCAACCGGGTACCCGATACCCATACCCGATACCCGGCCGGGTACGGGTACCCATTTGCGACCCTGGTGCGGCCGGGTACGGGTAGGCCGTGAGTCACTGGTGAGTAACTGTTTGTCACTCATTTCCCAACGTCTTGTCTCTTCTCACAATTCAAGTTCCTAGAATCAACCCACCCGCGCCTACAACATGGCTTCATCCCAGAGGTCGCAATCAGGTACCCGATACCCGTACCCTACCCGTACCCGGCCGGGTACGGGTAGGGTACGGGTACGGCCGGGTACGGGTACCCGTTTGCGACCCTGGTGCGACCGGGTACGGGTACGGGTAAGCAATCAAAACCCGTTTGCGACCTCTGCCATTCGGGTGGTTCAACGTTGAGCCGCGTCGCGTGGCGGATGATGCCGCGTCGCGTGTTTCCCCACGAACACTGCCACAAACGTCGAGACGTCCCACTCCTCATCAGATCGACCGCCAAGGCAGCGCCGGTGACACGGGGCCGCAATCCACGTCAGCCCCGCAATTTGGTCTGGATCCAAAGTCGGCCACAAAGAGGCGGCGCGGATAAACGCAGCTCGGCACGTGATCGCGAGGACATCGTTTTGGAGACCGGTAGAATTCGCCCGTGCGATGGCATTCCCGCCTCTGTCCAGTCACATTTCTAAGACACAATGACCCTGCTCCTGACCGCAAATGTTCCCCGTGCTCGGAGGTGTGTGGCTGGAGGGTGATTAAGGTTTATGCGCTTGATGTTGTTTTCGCATTGACAGTCAATTTGAAAACAATAGTGCATGGAAGAATGAATCCTTCCATTCTTATTTGGCCACATGTTGACATATTATTTAGTGCAGGGCATTCGAAACTTCACCACTGACTTTCCCATTTTCTCCATCCGCCTGCGAGTCCCGACGACTCCATCTTCACATTCACGAGGACAGCATTGCTTTTTGAGCCGATTTGGCATAATCGGCCACAGCTTCGCGCAGAATTGCAAACGTAAAGACAAAACGTCGAGCCGTGAATTGGATCCTCTCGGTCCCATTGCCTGCAGCCTTCACTCGGGCTTTCACTGCCCATTAGTGCGTGCTGTTGGCAAGATAATGTGCCGTCTAATACCAGAGCCTAACCAGCCCTCGGAAGAAATGTAGAAGCTCTCTAACAAATGGAGCAATATGAATTTCTCCACAATAAAATGTATACTGGCAAAAAAAAGTATGACTAAGTAAATTAATTTGGAAGTGTACATGCGTAACTCATTTAATTTTCTTCAAAATGACACTATGCTCATAGGAAGTCCGAATGAACGGATTCTTCCGTTAGTAATTCAAATATATTTTATATAGCTACAGGTTTTTTTTTATATATAAAGCAAAGGCATCCAAGCTGATTTTCCATTAAGGAGGAAAGAGGAAAAAAATAAGTGTGACATCAACCCAGTGTTACATGTACAAATGTTAAAAGTTAACACATACAAATGAACTCCAAGGGTACGAAACAATGTAGCCATTTAAAATGATCTTAAGTATCATTATTATACACCTTGATGAGAATCCACTGTACAATTTGCTAAATTTTGTACAGTCCATCAAATACGTGTGTGGTTGCCCCTCTTTCTCTCTTAAAGTGGATTTCCTCCATGCATCTCATTTCGAGCCGGATTGTTTTCGCAAAATTCAAAAGAGCCTAAGCCTCCTCTTCATCTCGTTCTTCTTCCACAGGGGCAGGCGATCAAACTCTTGTATGCTCATCCCAAACAGCCGGTAGAATTCTTCTGGAGACAAGTGGCGCTGCGACGACATGGGGGGGGGGGGCGGGGGGGGGGGACCACGGTTATTTAAAAAGCATTTGAAGCTTTCGTGACTGCAAGGATTCATACTCTTAGGTTTTTTCGGTAAAGTCACGTAGGTAAAAAATAAAATTAAAAGTTCATTAAATTAATAATGTAAAATAATAAATCCCGACGTTTCGGAGGCAACACAAGTCTCCGTCATCAGGTGGGACCGTCACAGCTCTGATAATGTGCACTGTCCTTGAAGTTGATTGGTCCACACCCGAGACAGCTTTCCATAGAGCCTCGTCTCACATGGTGTTGGACCAGATGACGCCAAAAGGTGCACAACTCAAAGACAATGCACCATCAGAGTATGAGAGCTCGGGGTAAGCATTTACACCATTGCCAGATAGAAGGGTAAAAAAACAATTATCATATTTTTACTGGCAAAAGAGGTTCCAATGGTGTAAAGGCCATACATTCTCTATGCGAGCAAACTGAGCAGGGACAGTAAAGAATGGTACAACTGAACATCGATTGAATGACAAAATAAATTCACCCGCGCGTGGCGTGTCGCACGTGGCGTGTCGCACGTGGCGTGTCGCACGTGGCGTGTGACACGTGGCGTGTCGCACGTGGTGTGTCGCACGTGGTGTGTCGCACGTGGCGTGTCGCACGTGGCGTGTGACACGTGGCGTGTCGCACGTGGTGTGTCACACGTGGTGTGTCGCACGTGGCGTGTCGCACGTGGCGTGTGACACGTGGCGTGTCGCACGTGGTGTGTCGCACGTGGCGTGTCGCACGTGGCGTGTCGCACGTGGCGTGTGACACGTGGCGTGTCGCACGTGGTGTGTCACACGTGGTGTGTCGCACGTGGCGTGTCGCACGTGGCGTGTGACACGTGGCGTGTCGCACGTGGTGTGTCACACGTGGTGTGTCGCACGTGGCGTGTCGCACGTGGCGTGTGACACGTGGCGTGTCGCACGTGGTGTGTCGCGCGTGGCGTGTCGCACGTGGCGTGTCGCACGTGGTGTGTCGCACGTGGCGTGTGACACGTGGCGTGTCGCACGTGGTGTGTCACACGTGGTGTGTCGCACGTGGCGTGTCGCACGTGGCGTGTGACACGTGGCGTGTCGCACGTGGTGTGTCACACGTGGTGTGTCGCACGTGGCGTGTCGCACGTGGCGTGTCGCCGTGGCGTGTCGCACGTGGCTGTGTCGCACGTGGGTGTGTCGCACGTGGTGTGTCGCACGTGGCGTGTGCACGGGCTGTCGCACGTGGTGTGTCGCACGTGGCGTGTCGCACGTGGCGTGTCGCACGTGGTGTGTCGCACGTGGCGTGTCGCACGTGGCGTGTCGCACGTGGTGTGTCGCACGTGGTGTGTCGCACGTGGCGTGTCGCACGTGGCGTGTCGCACGTGGCGTGTCGCACGTGGTTGTCGCACGTGGCGTGTCGCACGTGGCGTGTCGCACTTGGCGTGTCGCACGTGGTGTGTCGCACGTGGCGTGTGGACACGTGGCGTGTCGCACGTGGTGTGTCGCACGTGGCGTGTGCGCACGTGGCGTGTCGCACGTGGCGTGTCGCACGTGGTGTGTCGCACGTGGCGTGTCGCACGTGGCGTGTGCGCACGTGGCGTGTCGCACGTGGCGTGTCGCACGTGGCGTGTCGCACGTGGCGTGTGACACGTGGCGTGTCGCACGTGGCGTGTCGACACGTGGCGTGTCGCACGTGGTGTCGCACGTGGCGTGTGACACGTGGCGTGTCGCACGTGGCGTGTGACACGTGGCGTGTCGCACGTGGCGTGTGACACGTGGCGTGTCGCACGTGGCGTGTGACACGTGGCGTGTCGCACGTGGCGTGTCGCACGTGGCGTGTGTCGCACGTGGCGTGTCGCACGTGGCGTGTCGCACGTGGCGTGTCGCACGTGGCGTGTCGCACGTGGCGTGTGACACGTGGCGTGTCGCACGTGGTGTGTTACACGTGATGTGTCACACGTGGTTTGTCACACGTGGTGTGCCGCCACTCACCTCTAGAGTGGTCCTGTCCACGGCGCGCGGTAGTTTGCTTCGTCCGCGAGTCGTAACGATCAGTATCTCGTACGGGTATATCTGCGGGGGCGTGCACTGGAATCAGCTTGGAAATACCAGGCACCGTGCTCTATCCACTGCTTAGGATAAGGCTGAAAGGTGGCGCGTAGTGGATGAATGAAGTACGTCGCCTTTGTCAGACATGATAAATTCCACTGCTGGATGAAGGCCTCCCCCCCCCCCCGCCCGCCCCCAAGCTATCGTCATCTCTCACAATCCCACAACGGAATAATCCACTTAGCCCTCTGCACAATAGTTGATTTTTAATCGCTCCATTTCCTTGCGTGGATGCCCACTGGGGCACATATGCAGTATGGAGTGCGTTAACATTTGGCATTATCCTTAGTAGCACTGCTTTCTTCAATACACCCTTTTTCTTTATTAAAGCCTTGTACATTAAAAGTATTCGTGACCACATAATACCCATTCAGTCATATTGTAGCATTGTCAACAAACACCTTAAATTGACGAGTGATACTTTAACCACCTCGCACAGTTACAAAGGCGGGTCTCACTCGATAACATATTTGTTCTTCGAGGAATAACGAAGTTTAAATGGGTTTATTTCAGCAGGCCAAGTGATGTTCAAACTCCCTGCTGACACGAGTAAACTGCTGCCAGTAATAGCCTCACGGAGGCAATGTGAGGAATTTTTACAGCGAAATCCCCTGCAGAGAGACGGTGCCCACGCTAACACAACCAAGAAGGGGAGCCCCATAAGCCATCAATTTTAACTAATCAGGGACAGAGTTATGGGATTTCCCCCCTCCCATGCTCTCCCAATAGCTGTCTCCTTATCCTTCTCTTTTGCCAGGGTTATTCAAGCTCCGTTCCTTGCGACCTACGAGAGGTACACGTCTTGCCGAGCTAAAAAATGTACCTCATTTGAAGCGTACATGCTCGTTGCACGCTGAACGCACCCGATGATTGCTAAACGTATCGCACACATCATCTTGGTTCTTTCGGTAAAGTCACGTAGAAGAGAAATAATGAAATAATAAAAATAAAACATAATAAAATAATTCTCACGACATTTCGGCCACAACGCAAGCAGCCGTCCTCAGGTGAAGACGCTGTCTTTCCAACAGACTTGTTCTTCACCTGAGGATGGCTGCTTGCATTGTGGCCGAAACGTCGTGAGAATTATTTTATTATGTTTTATTTTTATTATTTTATTATTTCCCTTCTACGTGACTTTACCGAAAGAACCAAGATGATGAATCCCTGCAGTCACGAAAGCTTTAAATCGAAATATCGCACACACGTAAGGTTTCGCAGCGTGTTGAGAATTTCTGCTCTAAAGCTTCACCATGCACTACCGAGGGCGTCATCGAAGTTAACTTCGAAAGATGCCCGCAGTGGTGATATGGCAGCCCCCTCGCCTGGTATGCAGGTCGTGGGTTCGATCCTGACTCTGATGTCTGTTTATTTGGAGTTTCCGTGTTCTCCCCATGGTCGCGTGGATTTTTCCTCTGGGTCCTCCGGTTTTTCCCTCCACATTTAGAAATATGCGTTGATCAATTTGCACTTGATAAGCCACTTCGTTGAGCCATCATCTGTGGCTGAGTCGCTTCTGAAAAAGAGCTGCATATAGCGCAGTGTGCCTTACCTGGTAAAATGAAAAAGAAATGTCTGAAATAGCAGTGCGTGTTAAAGCTTTCGTGACTGCAGGGATTCATCTTCTTGGTTCTTTTGGTAAAGTCACGTAGAAGGGAAATAATAAAATAATAAAAATAAAACATAATAAAATACAATTCTCACGACGTTTCGGCCACAACGCAAGCATCTGACGCTGTCTTTCCGACAGCCCTGCTCTTTACCTGAGGACGGCTGCTTGCGTTGTGGCCGAAACGTCGTGAGAATTATTTAATTATGTTTTATTTTTATTATTTATTATTTACCTTCTACGTGACTTTACCGAAAGAACCAACAAGATAGCAGTGCGTGGTGAGAAGAAACGCTTAACAGGCAGCCCAACTCCAAAAAACCACACATGCATGGCCGACAATGCCGACGATGATGATGACGACGATGAATTTTCGCAATACCTTTGGCTCCAGAATGTTTGGCATAGACACGCCTTTCTCCATTCGGGACGCCCGTGTTCCACCGCCCGCAGCAGGCTGTGGCACAAAGCGGAAGGCTCTTTGCGGCGGCTCGCACATGACACTTGTATGCGTGTACGCGCGCATACGTGAGTGCGCGCGCGCACACACCGTGCGCACACGTGAGTGTCGCGCGCGCACGCGACACTCACGTGCGCGAGCGTACACGCGATGCGCGCGCGACGGTCGTGGCGTAAATCGACTGCGGCCCCGCGCTAAATCATTTTTCCCACACTAACTTCGAACAGCTTTCTCGAAGTGCGGTCGTATATAAACAGGGCATTCCCACAGCGCTATAATAGAATGAAGATGTGACCGCGAATGTAATTGGCACTGATTACGCTCGGGCGTTATGGGGGCAACAGCAAAAGAGCGTACTGCAGTGTGGCAAGTCCAGTTCGCATATTCACAGCAGCTGGCTACGGTTATATTTTTAACACATTTTCACGTCTCTGATTAACACGGTTGGCTACGTACGGTGCGGAAGAAGTTTAACGTACATACAACAACGTGTCGATAAAGAAAGAAGTTATAAGTTAAAATAAAGTCACCACGAACCGTCATAGTTTCCTCTATTGTCGATGGTGGCACCTGGCAAAGAGTAATGATCGAGACAAACAACATCAGAAACGCTCGCCGCACCCCCGACACTAACAAGTGCAGCCTTTAAGTGACCTAACCAACAATTCCCCATTCTGATCACGCGAATCTCAACCGAGCACCACGTTATTAGTACAGAAACGCACTATGCATTATGGGTAAAAGCATATAGAAGCAAGAACTCCGTTCTCTGTCGCTACAAATAAACACAAATGTGTTTCAGTCCATCGGCCTCTTGGCTTTCAAGACCAATGTAATCCGGCGAAATTTGTTAAAGCAAGCACACAATGGATCAGTTTTGACCTTCTGGATCTCACCGGCAGTTACATTTATTCGGGTTAGCCAGGTGTTGCTAGGCAATGCCGCAGCCCGATTGTCGCGGCCCTTACCGTCGTACACCCCGCAAGCCATTAAAGTGCGCTAATGGGATGAATGGCACTGGGGCGTGGGCCCTGTGAAGCGTTGCCGCACACGGTCACGGCGCGGATATTTTTTTAGAAAACACAAGACGCCCCACAATGTGGCAATGCTGGCACACAACATCTGACAGCGCCGCCATCAAAAGTGACAGGCCGGTTCGATTGGCAGCAGTAGCATTACAGTACTGTACGAGCATTTTCATTTCCTTTCCATCCTAAACATTAATACATTAAATGACACCAAAGACGATTCGTATGTGCCGGAGGACATTATGGTAATGACACATAAAATAATCGGATGAAACATGAAATAGGAAAGGGGATTATTATGTTATTATTCATAAATGTTTTACTCGATTGATTTTACAGATTCTATGCTGTTTAATCAATGGCACTTATAAAATGTGTCATATATTACGCTTTGCAAGGGTAACCAAATGATTAAAAATTGTATCTTGACTCAAGCATATTGTATTTTTTTGTGTTTGCAAAGTACTGTATCCCTAATTTAAAGGGAAGCGTCCCCTTACCTGGCAATCTACATGGAAGGAGATGAGAAGGGAAATAAAACCAAACACAACGAAAAGGAACAAAGGACAAGAAAACAAAACAACAAAAAACAAATGAGAGGCAGTTAGTGAGAGTTGCTTGGTCTCTCGAAAAACCGCGACAATACTCGTTAATTTACTACATCTTCAAGTACATTTTTATCCATTCTTTACGGTGCTGTGATCCAACGCTTACGGTTCCCGCGTCCACCAACACGCACTGACCAGCGTGGTGAAGGAGGGTTGAACATAAATAACCCTCACGATCCGCGCGGTGTGCGGAGGCCCTCATCCAGCAGTGGATTGACAAAAAGGGCCTTGCGTGTACGTTTCCATGAACAGTATTGTACGGGAGTTCAAAGTGCAACGATGCACAGCTTTTCAAAAGGTGGCCAACGTTATCTTTCTTGCTTTTTCTATCAATTCAGCGAATTGTTCGATAAATTGCGAGGTTTCTGTTGTTGTTGTTGTGCAGCGTGAAACGAATTTAATATTTCCGTTCCTAAATTCTGCGACTTGCGTTTGGGACAAGAGTCCACCAAAGGCGTACACGAGGCGGATGGGAGGCGGGCGGGTATACCCGCTGTGTGGAATGCTTTTTCATGTAACACAGAATGTGCACACGCAACGATGCATTTTCAACAAATGGACATTTCTCAATGCATCAAACGACGAAATGTAAACCACCGATTTCCTCCAACACAAGCACACGCGGACTAAGTTATCCGGCACATGCAACAGTACTTACCTTTTTCAGGTCAAATAATTATAACATACGCAATTATATTTATTTAAACATAGACTGCATTGTAACCATTTATTTTAAAGGACACGATAATATCCATTCGGTGTGCTAGAAATAAAACAGTGATACTAATTCTAATTTGCAGCACTTTATTGTATAAGATAAAAGCCTTCCCACGGCATGTCGAGTGTGGGGGAGGGGCGTTTGACCATACTTCACCACGCTGGTCAGTGTGGGTAGGTGAAGGTGTTGTTTGGGGCAGGGAGAGCTGTACCTGGTCAGATATCACTCACCAATGATGCTAGCCACATCTGGGAATATAACTGGGGTCTGCCAGGTTCAAAGCGCATTGCGCTCACCACTGGATCACCCACTTGGTTCACAGTGACGCGATCCTTTTAAAAATGCAAACATATCTGGGATATATTCACGTGAAATAGGAGTTTTAATGACAAGGTCAACCTTAAAACACAATTTAAATTCAACAGTAATGTTCAAGACATTTCACTACGTTAGACGTGACTAAGGAAATCAACGACGTTGGGGGGGAATTGTGAAGCACGAAGCAGATGATGTCAACTGGATCACGACGGATTCTCAGATCAACTCTTGAGCGAGGTCGCGTCAGTCTTTGCTGCGTGGCCACGGATGCCTTTGTGCGAAACAAACATGACGAAAAAATTGCAATACGTTGCGGTGTTATTATCGAATGCCTCTCATCTTACCTCGGGGATCTTGGTAACAGTTTCCATGGACGTGATGGAAATCTGTCGACTGGGGCTGTAGGAGCAAATGAGCATAAGGCACGGGACACGTTAATTTACCAAATGATACGTTTCTGTAAAAAAAAAAATTAGGCTACTAATTGCGGTTCCAATAAAGGAAATTAGACAGAAAATGTTTGACAGTGGCATACGTTCAATTCTCAACAGTGCCTCAAAGTCCTTACGTCCCTCGGCTAATTGCGGTGAAGATAACGGTACCCTTTGTGGTCAACAGGAAGTGGCAAAGGAAATAGCCAAACTGTGCAAAGTGTAAAAATAAAACCGAGATGAGGGCATTCATTATAGTTCCATTAATTGTAGTTCCAGGCCATACACACGGGTTTGTAAAAGAGCCAACAGTTTTTTTCCCCGTTTCCTGAATTACATGAGCAGTCTGACCTTTGGCAGACACTTCATGATAAACGGCCGCGGTGCGTGCACTCCTCGTGCATGCCAGTAATGAGTGTTTATCATTCCCGAGTGCCTCATTTAGGCTGGCGTAACCCCCCCCCCCCCCCCCCCCACTACAAAAAGCATTATCCGAGGCCGCGGCTTTCAACTTTGCATTCTTTTCTATGCCACCCCCTCTGCAGCGTCGTTGCGGCCCTGCTGTTTGTTGTCGTTCAGCGAAACCAAAGAAAGCGATTTTTCAAAACGCAAACCAAAATCAAGAGCACAAGATGCAAGTTGAACTAATGTCCTTACCCGCTGCAGACCATTCCTTCCATAACCTGGAAGGGAAGAAGACTTGGATGGAGACCCTGCACACAGCAGCGGAGCGCGTGTTAGTTAGGCCCCCGTAAAAACGCCCGCTACTCGTGGCCAACAGGGTCTGCACATTAAACCAATGAACACTCTCCCTGGGTCTGCACATTAAACCAATGAACACTCTCCCTGGGCCTGCACATTAAACGAACGAACACTCTCTCTGGGTCTGCACTTTAAACCAACGAAGACTTTCCCTGGGCCTGCACTTTAAACCAACGACGACTTTCCCTGGGTCTGCACTTTAAACCAACGAAGACTCTCCCTTGGCCTGCACATTAAGGCAACGAAGACTTTCCCTGGGCCTGCACATTAAACCAATGAACACTTTCCCTGGGTCTGCACATTAAACCAATGAACACTCTCCCTGGGCCTGCACATTAAGGCAACGAAGACTTTCCCTTGGTCTGCCCATTAGACCAATGAACACTCCCTGGGTCTGCACTTTAAGCCAACGAAGACTTTCCCTGGGTCTGCACTTTAAACCAATGAACACTCTCCCTGGGTCTGCACTTTAAACCAATGAACACTCTCCCTTGGCCTGCACATTAAGGCAACGAAGACATTCCCTGGGTCTGCACTTTAAACCAACGAACACTCTCTGGGCCTGCACTTTAAACCAACGACTCTCTCTGGGCCTGCACTTTAAACCAACAACTCTCCCTGGTTCTGCACTTTAAACCAACGAAGACTTTCCCTGGGTCTGCACTTTGAACCAACGAAGACTTTCCCTAGGCCTGTATATTAAGCCAATATTAAGCCAATATTAAGCCAATGAATATCAGAATCTTTGTTCATACTGGAGGAATTTGATGAGCTATGAAGCTCTTTTTCACGGATGTCCATTAAAACAACGACCAGTCCGAAAACGCGTCGGCAAAAAACTGAGTTGCGTCGAAATATTTTGTGTTTTTTTGTATTTTATCTTACAAAAAAAATGTTATTTACGTGAATATTTACTTTTTAGAGACCTACACTGCAGACTTACAAGCTTTCAGATTTTGCCTTTGGACTTTAAAACATTTACGGAATAAAGTGTTATTTTTACGATTTAGTTTCGGTCTGTTTTTATTCATAAAATCTGTATCACTCTTGAGGACCACTTGATTTCCTTGATATATCTCGAGCTCTGGTTTTAAATATTGTAAATATAAGGTTTCACTGAAGCCCTTGCTTCTGAAATGTTGGGGCTTGGAAGTTAATTACGTCTGTGTCTGCTGTAAGTGCGATTTGTATTATCATGCATCGCCAAGTTTACGCGATAATGAACATCATATTCACTGGTCATGCATATAATACCGTCTCTCGCTATCTTCTGTAACGAAATATATTTAATTGCAGCGTGACACTGAGTTTGGTCGAAGCTTATTGTAAATGTGACAAATCAAGAATTGCATCTGTATTTAGCACTGTGGTGAATTGTGGTGACTCTGGAAACACATGCGCACCAGTTACATGAAACTTGATTCCAATCAAAATCACTGATTCTTACACGTCGGTTTCAATGCACATTGGTAATCCTAAGATGATATATTCATCGACAAATCGTTGCATTGTTAACCACTCTTACAACACAGTGGATACCTGGCTTTGTTTTCACAAACTAAACGTCTTGCATGTTTATATTCTAAGTGCTGGGCATTCATGTAAATGTAATTATGTGTAAAGCACTCCGCCGATATGCCTTTATGCATGTGAGGTGCGCTATTACAAATAAATATTGATTGATTCATTCATAATATTTACCCTGCCTGGTCGCTGTAAGGCAATGGTTCTTAATATTTAATGCAGCCTTGTACCCCTTTGGTTCTCAATCGTTGAAAAAAAAGTATAATTTTAATAAACACATCGGTTTGATGAAACAAAGTAGTTGTACCTACGTGCCTACCCCAGGTTAAGAACCACTGCTGTAACGAAATATCGCGGGGGTCTGACCATGTCCATGGAGAGTGAAAGGCAGCCCATCGAGAGCCACACCAGGTGCGTAAAGTCACTTTAAGACGCGTGTGTGTGTGTGTGCAAGTGTACAAACCGCTGCCCGTTGATTGGAAATCGTTCTAAAACTGCATCCAAGAGTCAGCGGTTGTGACCACCATGCCAAAACACGAATGCCCAACCAATGCACAGGCACTCGCGAACGGACAGACTAGACAGACACGCACTCAGCACGGAGGGCCTGAGGTCAAGACCAGAGTTGTTCAGAGTTACAGACTAGAGCTGAAAAGTAAGGCTAGAACCAAGGTTCAATGTGTATACATTCATGAGCATGGTGGAAAGATAAGGGTTAAGGCAATTCTCCATAACAATATATATCCCTTTTCCACTAGCCCGTCCGAGCCAAGCCAGCAGTGGGACCCTCAATGTACGGATGGTTTTCCACTGGCTATTTGACAGAAGCAAACCGTGACGCGCTGGCCAGGGCTAAATTGTACTTTCACAGAGCACGTGACTGAGGACGGCGCCACCGTAACGTCTACACGCGTGTCGACACGTACACGGCGTGTGACGTCGGTGGAATGGCATGGCGTGGCTCGGCTTCTGCAGTGAGGAAATAAATACATGGGAACTCCTGAGCAGTGCCGGATGATCCTAGTAGCAAAAGGAATATATGCTACGGGCCCCGTACTTTCAAGGGCCCCGCGCTAAATGCTCTCAAGCTAAAAATTCCGGTTCAGTGATTCTGCACTATAGTACTATACTGCCTTCAATTTTTATGAACGACTGGGTGTTTAAGGTTAGCGATTTTGTCGTATTATCTGGCTGTATAGCAAATGAAAAAATACAATTACTTTACTATGCAAGTTTAAAATGTATGTGTTTTAATATTTAAGTGTGTGTTTTTTAATAGGGCCCCTTCATAACAAATGCTACAGGCCCCGCACTAGCTTAATCCGGCACTGCTCCTGAGTCACATCGAGCTGGCTCGGCATGGCCCTGGTATGGCTTGGTTCTGCAGTGGAAAAGAGTTAAAATTGTCTCAGCTAGCCGTGGATAAACAGTGCTCCTTGCCAAAGGGTCAAGACACTGATTTAAAAAAAAATGTCCCCAAACAAACAGACATGGTCCTTGGTCCTGCCCATGTATTAATGGTCACGGTGGTGACCTTGTGTAAGTTGTGTTACAGACCCCAGCCTTGGCCCAGAGATAGAAACCTCGGCTTTCATTCCAAAATCATGGTCTTGCTCACAGGTGTGCACGTGAATTAATATCAATGTGAATTGGAAATCTCTCTAAAAGCCAAATACATTCACCCCTAGAAGTGTCAAAATTACGCCACGGTACGCATCCCAACATTGATGCCTTCCTTTTTGTCACATGTGCACAAGGCGAGGCCAAAATGTGAAAGGCGCTCTTTAAATTCGTTTTGGATGAGACAACTTCTAAGGTTGATCATATCTTTACCATTTGCAGCGGATGTGGTCACCAACCATATGACAGCACAGTGAATGACTGATTCACATCTGCGTTACACATTGGCAACACTTCATTTACTCATCGTCATTTTGCAATATCAAGGCCTCAGTGTTTATCGGGGGAAAAAACATTTATTTTAACGTAGGTGTCAAAGGCGATGCATTGCAATTAATAGTTTGACGCCACTGCTGGCGGTAGGGTCTTCAAAAGAGGGAGCTCAAGAGAGCTCCACTGCAGTCATTTAATTGCACTTAGAATATCCTAATCAGGAAGGAGTTTGTTTGAACATTTACTATTTCCAATGGCATGCTTCTCTCGGTCATTGCAAAAGTAAAATTGCAGTTTAAAGCTGCTGAATTTGCCATCGAATACGTTTAAAAGGGACAGATATGTGACTGACGAGCAAAAACAAAGTGTTGCCAATCCTTTCCATAATTTTCCCCGTTGAATAATCAGAGACAAGCACGACATCAATGAATGAAACACAGGCACGCACGCACGCACACAAGTTAGGACGAGACGTTGATTTTTCATGACAAAGACGCAATGCTCCATCATGATCGTGGGTACCTACCCTGCTCCTCAGGGCACAGACTCCTTGATGGAGCTTTCCAAAAAGAGCACCACAAGAACATTGATACAGGCAGATAAAATATGTGGAGCAGGCCGGCCAAAACGTCCAGTTTTTTCCCCTTTCCTTTCTCCGATAAAAATAAAATTCCCGCTCCAAACGATTTATCTAACTGAGCACATTCAATCATAGTCAAGGCACAAAAAGAGGTAAAGGTGCGGCCCTGATATTGCTTGCTCACGCCACTGTTGTGGGGTCTTGCTATGTCACGGGAGCTCCATCTAGAGGGTATTTGGCCTACTCTTCCGTACGGGCCAGACGTCTTGGAAGAGGTGGGAGTGCCCACACTTGCCCCCGCCACGCACGACCTGCCGATCGACTAAATGTGGTGAACCCATTCACGCCGGTGCATTAAAAGAGACGGGGGGGGGGGGGGGGAGATCAATTCGAACCGGCATCCTCGGGATTGAAAGGTCGGTGTGCTGACCGGTAACACCGTGGCAGAAACCCTTCAGTTAAAGTCAAAAGCCAACAGTTAGGTCGTGTTCAGATGAGCAATGAGGCACGGCTCTTATCTTGTTAACAGCCCACAGCCAGTGGTGGAATTTCCACAATCCAATGGGGGCAGGGGTGACTTCCCCACAAAGTGGTAGACATTTTGTCGACCCCAAAGGTAATGATGGGCTGGGTCAGCCCCCAAATTTTTTTTTTACTTGCAACCTTCCAATTGAGGTTGCAACTTGGCCCAACACGGTATATGTGAATACATCAGATGAGAGTAGAGCAGGTAAGTTATACTGAACCATACCACGGAACAACCTTGGCTATACACCTGTCTGGTGCCATCATGTTGCATCACTGAGCCAGGTGAGATAAAGAAGCAAAACAATCAGGAGGGCTGAGCGAAGAGTCACTCGTACGTTACAAACCTTTTTTTGACACATATCCTTGTCCGCTTATAAACGAATACTATAAGCATCTAATATCCATTTAATGTTTCTGTAAACTAGTTTTGCATTTGTCCTCTGATCAGTCGAAAAACAATCTGCCCGAGCCGACATGCGACCGCTTGGTGAGGCCTCATATGTACGTCTGTATGTCGAACTTCTTTCGCACCATACGTAGCCAACCGTGCTAATCGGAGGTGCAGGGGAAGGACAACAAACTAAACACATCCAGCAGCAGTGGCTCCGATCCACAGTCGATTACGACGACGACGACAACGTCGGCAAAGCCGTGTGAGCAATGTAACGGCTTACACGCATGCACGGGGGAGTCGAAGCGCGTGCGCTGCGAGGGCTCGCTGGAGGCGGAGGGCGTGCGCGACGACGACCGCGGGTCCAGCTCACGCTGGTTCTCCATCTCCTCCCGCAGGATCATCCGCCCGAGGCCCGACTGCACCTGCCGACGGCCACGGGGCGGAGCGGGGGGAAGCGACGCAGGTCACCCGACGCGTCCGGGTGAATGCCAAGTGGGGTGTTGCGTGCGGCGTGGCCAGCGACGTGTGCAGGCGGTGCAATTGCACCGGGTAGGGGAGGGGGTGGGGGCTGTGGGGCCGAATAGGCACCGCAGGTATCGGGTGATGATGAAGGGGAACACTGGACAGGGGGTGGCCCCCATTGCATTCCTTGCAGCAGGGCGTGTATTCCAACCACGTGTGCTCTTATTGGAGGGTAATGTTGGCGCGTCCAACGCCGCTGTCCAATTGATAGAATACCGCGTTGTCGTTGGACATTGACGATAGTGATTACCGTTGTTGTTGTTGTTGTTTTCCTAATAGTGATTACCGTTATCATCGGCCACGATCCATCTCAGTAAACATGGCCGGTATAAAAAGAAAAGGTAAATAAAAGGACAACATTTGTTTTGTTCATCGTAACACCATTCGTTATCTGCCTTTGATTTTTTGCAGTTCAATAATTCTGAATCGGGATTCGTGTGTGTCTTTTTAGTTTGCACGGAATGTAATGTTTTAAAACTCCCGGTGCGGAGTGCACTACCTTGCTCATCTCCTGCTCGTGAACGACTCGGCGCCGCCTCGACTCCTCCTCCTCCTCCTCGTGCATGGTCCTGTTCTTCCGCCACTCTGTCCCCATCCAACACCGTCCACCCCCCCCACCCCAACGGAGAAGCAGTCAAAGACTTGGAATGAGGGTAAAAAGCATTTCTGTGTCCCCCACATACAAATGATTTGGCCTATTTTCTTTCCAGCGTCGGCGTTGTCCGGCAGCGTTCGTTGCACCAAGAAGATTGCTGAGCGGTTTAGACCTTCTGGGGATCATCGGCAGAGTCAGCCTTTGTTAAAAAAAACTAATTCTGCCGTGTTGCCAGATGTTATTGGCATGAATATTATATCCAAGCTACGGGGGCCCTGGTCAATGCACTATTTAATCCAGACTCGTTATGCATTCATATGAGTAGAACCTCGATCTGGTTTTCCGAATTGATATATTTTTTCCCAAATTGAATAATAACGACCCCCGTTACATTCTGCACGTGCGTCATGACTGCTAAACATGTCCCACACAATGTAATATACACACGCACAACCCTACACACACACACCAGGCATGCATTGGAATCTACACTCCCTTAATTTTTACATGGAATATGTTTATGAATGTTCAAGAATGTGAAGTGTTCAGTGAATTCATTTATATTTGAATGAAGGAAAATTTGTGAACTTCACAGGACATTCTGGTGGGTCATAAGGAGTAGAATTATGGCATTATATCTGCCATGACCAAATATAATGCAAACCCTGGCCAGATCAATCGTCTTTTTTGCACCCTTTGAAAGTAATCCACTGTCATTTATATATTTCATTTCACTCATGTGCACGTGTGTTACTCATTAGATACACAATTCAAGACACATTTTTTTTTAAATCGTGAAAATTGTAATGCTCTCTCTACGAATGTATTCTCGGTGCTTCCTTGGGAGCTTTGTGCTCTGGGCAGCTGCCCGATCTTGCCCACCCCTAAGGCCGGACCTAGGTAAAGCCCCAGTGACATCCGAAGAAACGGAGCCATAAATTAGTTATGTATGTACACAAAGTGTACATGCAGCAGAAATAACTGCTGTTACCATTACGTTTGAAGCAGCTCAGGCCTGGTATGTGGAAACATTAACAACTCATATTCGTGAGCAGGAGAAAACTACGGAGCCACCCTGCAAATTCCGCACATTCCAGAAACATGCCCGTAAACGCGTAGGAGTCGGCACTCTAAGAGTAAAAAATAAACATTTTTCATTTGAGCCCTTTTGTTTAGCGGCTTCGTGTTATTTGGGGAGATCTCCGACAGCCGCTTTGAAACACAAACCATGCCACAATCTTGTCATTACTCATCGACCTCCAATAACACAGACTCAATCGAGCCTTAGCGTGACTCCTAAACCACCTCATCGTGTAAAAGCTAAAATGAATTTCAACTTGACAATTTTTTTTATTTTATCAGGTCAGGCCCACTAAGCTATATAGTTATTTTTCAGAAGCGACCTGGCCACAAATGATTGCTCAACGCAGTGGCTTATCATCACGTGGACATTAACAGCAGCCAAATATTCTTAACGCAAATGTGGAAGGAAAAAAAACGGAAGGACCCCGAGAAAAAGTCCACGCGACCACGGGGAGCACACCGTGCAAACTCCAAATATACAGCAGGCATCGTCAGGGTCTGGATCGACCCCACGACCTCCTGTATACCAGGCGAGGTAATTAACATCTCGCCACCGTGGCTCCCCTGTGTTCATCCACGCCCATCAAAGGCATCATGCCGGGGAAGGCCTCACCGACGGCGGCGAGAGAAGGGGGGCAGGGCCAGTAGTCGGTCTCGATCTTGGCGGGCAGCGCGGGATCCGGGGCGTGCGCCGCTGGGAATTTGGCCGACTGGATGACGTCCTCCCCGACGACACGACCGCCCGGCCCCGACATCATCGACGACTCTGCGCGCCCAGCGGCGGCAGAATCGGCGGCAGCGGGTAACAGTGACGACGGCTCTAATGTTCCAAGCGTAAGAGTCCAAATTATATTTTTCATTTCTCACAGCTGAAAGTTTTGGTGGAAATTGATTGAGGGCAGAGGTAAATTTAAAGTGATGTTTTAATTCCGCAGCCACCGGCTAATGGGCTCAGACCATCAACTCACTGCTACTTGGAACACCCCGGTTTAATTCGAGTTGCGTGCCTGGATTGGAAACCAGGATCTTGGTGGTGCCAGCTCAGCAGTCTGAACCTCTGAGCTAGCCTGGCCAACCTAGGAGGGGAATTTTCAGATTTCCCTTGCGCCAATGAGCTTGCTGAGGCAATTGTGAAAAAGTCTCCACTGCTCGAATGAGTACAGGGGTCGTTGCCATCCCCACTGGAAAGCCGATAATCAATTGTGGAAATTCCACATTGCAATAGTGGAGGCCAGTTTTTCCCCTTAAGGTCATGCGAGGCATGGCCATATATTTGAGATATGAGCTCTGGGCAACAAATATCCCCCCAAACAACCTACAAGCTTCTGTGTTGTGTTCTTATAATGGGATATGTCAACTTTACCGTACTGCTTGTAGACGGGCGGCTTCCTGTAAATATTGGAGCTGTCTTCTGCACAACGGACCAAAAAAATACGGCGAATCAATGAACATCAGCGTATCGTAATAGCGAAATTAACAAATGCAAGGAGCTTAATGACTAACGCCATACTCTTTCATGTATCAAGTTGTTGCCGTATTCTCCAGATTGTAAGACACACTTCCCCCCCTGCCCCCTGTATTGTTTAAGCGAGAGTTGGGGGGTGTATCTTATAATCTGCTGGTAGGTGTGAGTGTGAGTGCTTGTGTGAGACTAGCATTGGATAACTTAGTTGACACTGGGCACGGTTGGAAGCTGCGTCCTTACTTTCCGGAGTGTCTTTAAAATCCGTAAAATTGGGTGACGTTTCAGAAGTCAGCAACACGGCATGTTCAAGCATCAGAAGACAGAGGCGAACTGTGATCCTGAATAATGCTATCGCCCTCTGGTGGGCAAACAGTGCGGTCCTTTCCTTTTTAACACAAAGCCAAAAAAATAAACGCTCCACCCTGACGTGAACAGCAACAACCAGCCGTCAGCTACAACGAGGGTCAGGCCACTCGGTGATTATTCCACAGCGCCGCATAAAAGGGGTCAGGGCAGGCGGGGAGGTACGCAGAGAAAGGGATGAGGTGTGGTGAGTGGAGACGATCAAGGAGACGCAGGAGGGTTGGGGAAGATCAGGCGAATGAGCGGCAGAGATAGCCGAGAAAAACAGTGAAAATCGAGTGTCTCTCCCTCTCTGGTCTGCGCTTGGCGTGCCATTGTGCCAGGAGTCCTAGTGAAGCGGTCGCGTTTGGGTCCGCGTGGCGGTAACGAAACGCACGCGCGAGCGAGCGATCGAGCGGTGTCACCAAAGTCAATTTTCTTGGTTCTTTCGGTAAAGTCACGTAGAATGGAAATAATAAAATAATAAAGTAAAACATCATAATACAATTAAAATAGCAATTATTAAATTATGTTGTATTTATTTATTATTTCCATTCTACGTGACTTTACCGAAAGAACCAAGAAGATGAATCCCTGCAGTCACGAAAGCTTTAAATCGAAATCGAAGTCAATTTGTTAAAGGCCACGGGCTGCGGGGAAGGTGTCTCCAGGCATGGTGCAGCCTGAACCGCAGGGGGCTGACGGTGTTCCCGCTGTCCAATACCAGAAGCTCATTGCCACCCCCCCCCCCCCCCCCCAGATTGTATCAAATCACTTGATGCCAACCTGCGGGGCTCAGGTCTCCCGAATCCATCCACCCTCCTCCAACCCTCGACTAAATGGAATGCCTCGAATGTCAGCGCTAGCAATAGTCACGACGCCACCGCTCGGTTGTGACCATCATGCGCACGCGCACACACACACACGCATATGCACGTTTGCGGTCGTTGTGCGCGTAAGAGCATGCAATTTCCACGTGAAATGTTCCGTTCAGGGATGAATGCTTGCTTTGGTGACACCCACCGAGTGTCAAATGATTCTGAATGCTCATGAAATGAATAAAAAAAACATTAATATCCAAGCAACTTTCCGGGCAATTGCCGCAATTAGTAGTTGTACGTTCGATAAATAAGAAACGGGGGGGGGGGGGGTTCGTTTTTATTATTATTATTGTATGTACAGTAATAATAATTGTAAAAAAAAAATCCAATGTTCTCAAAGCGAACTGCGATCTCTACGGGGGGTCACTTGCAGGAGAGGGGTCGTACCTGGCAGGTGAAAGTGTTTGGGAGACTGGGGGGGGCGGGGGGAGGGCGACTGCCCTAGGGACCGCTTTTGCGAGGGCGAGCTGTGTGTACTTGTCGTGATCATGCCTCCAGGTCGGGCGGGGGTGGGGGGTCAACGTGATGTGGAGGAAGGGAAGGAAGGGAGGGGGGAGGGAGGGGGGAGGGAGGGGGGGAGGAGGGACGGGGGGAGGGAGGGAGGGGGGAGAGAGGGGGGGGAGGGAGGGGGGAGGGGGAAGGGGGGAGGGAGGGGGGAGGGAGGGGGGAGGGAGGGGAGGGAGGGTTGGAGGGAGGGGGGGAGGGGGGGGAGGGGGGAAGGAGGGAAGGGAGGGAGGGGAGAGGAAGGGGAGAGGGAGGGAGGGAGGGGAGGGAGTGAGGGTTGGAGGGAGGGAGGGATGGGAGGGAGTGAGGGAGTGAGGGGGAGGGAGGGGAGGGGAAATTGAGAGTAAACAACAGATGTATAAAGCAGGAGCGATGGCTCGAGAAAAAGGTGGAGGGGTCGTAATGTTCGGGGTAAATTAGAGATATAGAGAGGCACAGAAGCAGACAAAGATGACATGAGGAGGAGGAAGAGATGGATATAAAGAGACAGGCAGAGTGTGAGAAGCGGTGTGAGAGGGACGGTTGCATAGTGACCAGGCCAGTGGGTGGTGGAGTGATAAAGGGAGATAGTAGGGGAAAAGAAAATCAAAATTAAATGAGCAACATAAAATAGGTACTGCATTGATAATAAAACACAAAATAAAATAAAAACACGATATACCCAGTAGTGTAGCGATGCGATAATTCACCCCCTGACCCTGGCGATTTGATTAAGTGTCTCAATTTCAGGCCACTATTCAATTCCAAGAATCAATTAATTTATTTTAACATTGCCATCAATGGGAGCGCCTCTAGTGGTCATGTGAACTCAGTACATGTACGTATATAATACATCAAATCTGACAGGTGCTATTCAATGCATGTGGCACGAGCTCAAGACTGGACATTAATCGACGCATTGTTAGACCCCCATCCAGTACAATATGTAAAAAGTAGCATACTGCATCACGTGCAAAATACATTGTGAATACGTGCAAATCAAAATTACTTCTGACAAGGCGATATTGTTCTGACGGCTCCAGACACTGGCTGCGGCAATTTGGCTCACACCACTTGGGCGATGGTCTGTGAAAGTCCATTTCAAAACAGCGTCGTTGCCCCGACAGCGATCAAAGCGACGTGGTGCGAGCCGCTAGAATGCCATGGTGACCTTGGAGGCAAGCCCACATTAGTGAAAATCTACCATAACATAACGAAGCTGCCATGGCCAATAATTCCCAAACCCTATGTGGCATTGGAATGCAGAGAGTTCAATCTTTGCATGGATCGCTCGGCAATTATGCGCAAGCACTGCGTTACACGTGCCCTTTGGAATGACCTCGTTCTTCAGGAGATGAGAGGCTGACGCTGGTAAACATGGTAACTGCAGCAGCAGCATCAGCAAAGCTACAGTCAGCGAGGCTTAAGGATGAAATAATTTGGCTTCTCTGGAGAGCGAGCGAACTGCCAATCGCGTTGCGTGCACGTGCTCCAAATAATTTGAAACTGTGCAGCAGCACGACAAAGGAAAAAAGCTGAGCGAATCTGATGCATTCATTTAAGACCATCGCTTCATCTTGTTTGCCGCCGTTGTGTGAATGTTTAACATTTGCGACCAACATTATCCATAGTAGAGGTTTTTGGGTTAAATCGCGTGGATATAAATGTACCGTTAAACCCGCCACCACCCGACACAGCCAATGAGTAAGGTTTGTGACGTAAACAAAAACATGGCAATCCGTTACCAGTTCAGTACACCCGATGTGTTGGAGAGTCATTGTCGATGTTGTGGGTTTACTCTCCAACACACCGGCGTGCTGCGAATTCCCATGTTTTGGTCACGTGACAAACCTTTACTCGTTGGCTGTGTCGGGTGGTGGCAGGTTTAACGACACATTTTAGGCGATCTAACCGAAAAACCTCTATTGTGGTGTGAATGGTTTGCGCGCTGGACTTCCAATCCAGAGTTCGCCGGCTTAATTCAACTTTTCAGCAAGGCGGTTTAAACGATGAGATAATGCCTTAAATCCCCCACAGCCTCTGTCCAGCAAATACACGGGTACAGAACAGGCGGGGTAAAGTGTTGTCGCTCCCACTTCTTCCAAGCATTGAAGAGTAGGCCAAATTTCCACTCAATAGGCTCTCTAGAGCTGCCTCCAGTCGAAGCCCTTCTGCCGGCAGCGGCGTGTGAAAGGAATTTCAAGGCTGTACATGCAGTGTCTTCCCTCCCCTGACCTTACTTCAACTGACCTCTGCTACCTCTGCACATCACAATTTGGCCACGTTGGTCACGGTTTCGCCTTTTCTGGAACTAATGGTGGTTGCGGTGGAAAATGATCAGAGGGGAATGGGTACCTGGGATACCTGGGCAGTGGAAGTGCTGCGGCGATCGCGTGGCAGAGGGAGAGAACCCGTGGCGGGCGTAGCCGGGAGAGCTGATGGTGCCGTGGCTGGAGGATCGTCGCTCTAGCCTCTCATGCACCTCCACTGGGCCCTGGGGGGGGGGGGGGGGGAGGGTTAAGAGGGCAAGGGCCCAAGGCTGTCACCATAATAGTGCTGACCCTTCAATGCCATGCAATGTACGCTCTGGCCATCATCCAACTGCCCTCCCCTCCAGCTTCCATCCCCCTCAGCTGCCCTCCCCTCCAGCTGCCCTCCTCCCAGCTGCCCTCCCCTCCAGCTGCCCTCCTCCCAGCTGCCCTTCTCCCAACTGCCCTCCTCTCAGCTGCCCTCCTCCCAGCTTCCCTCTCCCTCAGCTGCCATCCCCCCCAGCTGCCCTCCCCCCCAGCTGCCCTCCCCTCCAGCTGCCCTCCTCCCAACTGCCCTCCTCCCAGCTGCCCTCCTCTCTAGCTGCCCTCCCCTGAGCTGCCCTCCTCCCAACTGCCCTCCCCCCAGCTGCCCTCCCCCCCAGCTGCCCTCCCCCCCAGCTGCCATCCCCTTCATCTGTCCTTCCCTCCACCTGCCCTCCCCAAAACGGGGGTGGGGGGTGATCATATTCATATAATTAACAAAAATCATCATTTTAACAAGAAAAAAGCACTTGTATGCACACAGAATTACAAGTGACAAGGGTGTTCACAGTTCCATTACAAATATTAACCCCCCGCCCTCCACAAAGGTTCATAACCAAAACTTACATTTATTTTCTGTTTTTTAAAATAATCCTACGTGGTGCAATAATGTCACGGGAATTTGGAATTCCTGGTGGGCCCCAAAAGGCATTTTGGAAATCCTACAGGATTTACAACGTAAGGGTTATAGTGACATTGATGAATGGTGTTTGGGTGGGATTTTAAATGATCATATTTTATACACAGGGAGCTGGGAATTCCTAATTAAATGAATTAACAACTCCCAGGTGCCCTTGCAGTGTTAAAAATGCAGTAAAAATATAAAGTCAATCCAATTTGTAGCCCCTTAACCTGTCACATTGTTTGTTTCCTTGACTGAGACTTAAGACCAAATTTGAGTTGACAAAGCAAATCAAATTAAAATTCGACATCACAAATGCTGAGGATTTTTAAAAAAGCTCGTGCTCTCGTTCAGCCAGAGACCAGCTGTTCCTGCCAGGCGAGCCGGACGGAGTGAAATAGAGGTGCCAGTGCCAACGTGAAATTGATGTCGCAGAATTCCCTGCGCTCGTGCAGTGACAGGTTCTGGGAGGGCTGCAAAGGGAAACGAACATGGAAGCATGCATGCACACACCTGCTCTAGCCTCTCCCCGGCATAGCGAGACTCGTACGTGATGAGATCGGGCCGTTCAATCTCGTAAATGGCCTTCACCCGCGGGATGGCTGCTAGGTCCTTATAATCCATCGCCTCATTGTCCACTCGTGCCTGGTTGGTAACCACCACCACCACCACCACCCCCCCCCCCCAGATCCACAGATTCGACCGTCACCACCCACCAGTGCCAACACCCCCCCCCCAACCGACACCACCACCACCACGGCAGAGAACACAACCACCACCGCCGATCCACACACCGCACCCCCACCGGGCAGAGTCGGCAAAGAGATACCAACACCGGCGTGGACAAAATGTGCCCCCCCCCTCCCACCATCACAGAGTGCCCGGGGGGGAGGGGGTGGGGGGAGGAGAGGCGGCAGGGGATGGAGGGGAGGGAAGGAACACATGAAACACGGCGACAAACATTGGGGGTGAAACAACGTTCAGACACACAGCAACGAAGCTAACCTGCAATTTAGACAACGCTCAAACGGCAATAAGCCTCACACGTGAAAGCAAATCCGGTGTCCCGAACGACGAGATGCGTACAAAAATACGTGGTTCGATCAGCAAGCATTACCACTACGTGGAGTCATGAACGCGTTTCTCTCATTTGTCGTTGAAAACTCGGGTGTAACTTTGTCGGCGTGCTTGCACGACGTCGTATAGGGACACACACATTGGAGCACACGGCGATGTGTGAGCGATGCGGAACCACTGTGTGGAGGGTGTCAACTCGGAGACATTGAGAGAGAAAATGAGAATTGCACTTGGAGCAAAAAAATATACGTCTAAACTAAATTTTCCTTCATACACGCGTCGAAACAAGATCAACGATCGTCATTGATGAATAAAAATACTAACAAAACAACAACAATAATAACAACAACACAATTGGAAGACGAAACAGTTGCACGATTTTGAAAACGCGTAGCATGGAGTGGCAGGCCAAGGGGACAAACAATGAAGTACTTAGGCAGGTAGCTAATCGTGTCGGCATATTCACTCTATAACCACAACAACAACAATAACACTTTACAGCCCCACGAGTCCTAAATGCTACCAAAGGTTCCCACGTTCACCGGAAGAGCTGTCTAAATCTGGGGGGAGGCGTTCACTCGGTGAGTAAGGACAGGGACCGCCGCGCAAGCTGCAGATGGGGCACTCACGTAGAGAGAATGACTCGGAGAGCCTGAAATGCTGGAGCTGGGCCGGGAAGGAATGCTCTCAGCCGAGACTCGCTGGAGCCGTGGTGCAAGGGAAGGGCAGGCGGTGGAGGAACGGAGGGGTGGGCGGTTGGGTGGGGTGGGTGGAGAGGGTAAGGTGGGTGGGGTGGGTGGGGTGGGTGGAGAGGGTAAGGTGGGTGGGTGGGGTGGGTGGAGAGGGTGAGAGTCATGTGGGTGAGACGTCGATCCAAAACACAGGTTGGTCGCATTAAGAGAACCTTTGCTCTGCCAAAGAGAACCACCGCCTTGTGGTCGTGCACAAACCTGGCCAGTGGCACACGCTGGAGACGACAACAACACGGTTCAACATTTTTTAGCATTGGACGGACGGTGGCGGCGGTGTGCAAATAATTGTGGCGCGCGAGATCAATCCATGCTCCATGCGGTGGTCCGTGTCGGTGGGTGGCATGCGTGCGCCCGCATGCGCGCACTCACGCGCTTTCGCTCCTCGGCCCTGGCCGCCTTCTTGCAGTCCGGGTGCCACACGGAGGAGCCTGCGCCACAACGGGTAGCCCCCACGTGGCGACAGAGAAACGAGGAGGAGGAGGAGGGGTGGAGGAGGAGCGAGGTTATTAAATCACGCCGGGCACGATGACCCAGAGGGGTGGTTGGTCGCGGACCGCACGGAGTTGTACAGCAGTTCTAGATTTGAAGCTTTCGTGACTGCAAGGATTCATGCTCTTAGGTTTTTTCGGTAAAGACACGTAGGTAAAAAAAATTGAAATAATAGAAATAAAATAATAAATCACGACGTTTCGGAGGCAACACAAGTCTCCGTCATCAGGTATCACTTGATACAGTAAATCTAGCTGTGACGGTCCCATCTGATGAAGGAGACTTGTGTTGCCTCCGAAACGGCGTGATTTAATATTTTATTTCTATTATTTGTTTTATTTATTTTTATTTTTACCTACGTGACTTTACCGAAAAAACCTAAGAGTATTGTACAGCAGTGGTTCTCGTAACCACTGAATCACAGTTCCTATGATCACTGTTACATTGTTTTTATAGCTTTATTTTGGTGATTTTGAAAAGTTTTGGTTTAGCCATGTTTGTTTGTTGTAGTACAGAGTTAGCCTGATAACTTTAAGCTACATTGTCTTATGGTTGTTATTGTTTGACTTGCATCCCACTGGGATTTTTGCACACAGCGTTGAAATACGGCGTTTTTTCTGGAAGACTTTGTTGTTTTTTCTAGAATTTATCTGTTGCATGTAGTCACTTTAAGATGTTTCTTGTTCATGTTTTTGTTTTGTTGCGGCTGCACCCGAGTCAAGAGCCGCATGGCTCACAGGGTTATACCTAATAAATGAAACTGAAATGAAACTGAATGCAGAACAGATATAAAAGACCTTTCTAAACTCATTAATCATTAACAATGTGGTTTCCAAGAGGAGCCAGCGAGCGCGAACACATGACGTCACGCGTGCAGAGCGTCCGTTCATGTTTTTTTTTATTCGCTTGAAGTTGTTGGCTAGGCAGGATACCTCACAAAATGGACAATTGGTTAAAATATTGATGTTCATTATTCACGCATTGATTTCTCAGAACCATGTTTGGTTGAAACAAAATTCAACAAGGGGTGTGCACAGTAGCCGTTGAGAACCACCGTTGCACAGTGCAGCCCAAATCTCACGGGGGAGATGTGATGTGGTCAGATGACAGGCCCAGCGCAGATTGTTTCTTGGATACAATCGCGAGATGCTCTAACAGTGCGTTTTCCACGGGAACTTTTAGCTTCTTCCCACTTGCCCACAAACGATCATTAGTGGAACATGACCAAACATTGGCATTGCAAGGCCCTGCCTGAAAAAAAAATCGAGTCTCAACGAGGTTGTCCAGGATAAACAAAGGAGGATGTATTATTATTACTACTACTACACCGATTTGTTTTATTGTGTTTCTACAAGGACATCTGAAATGTTAAAAGCTTGTCATGAAACAGCTGCCTACACAAAGAAACCCCATTTGTTACCCTACTCTGGTTTTATTTGCATTCCCTGTCTTAACTCCCATGTGCTCAGTTGACCTACATGCCATAGATGTAATTAATACAAGCATATAGATATATATATATGAGTAAATGTATTATATAAACTAACTTTGGCTTGCAGAGGGTATATATTAGAGTTGCCACCTATTTTTCATAGGGCATCCTATTTTTGAGGTAGCCTCATGGGAAATATATGGGTCTTCTCAGGACATTAAAAGACCCGGTTGTGGTCAGTGTTGCAACCATGTACCACTTAACCTATGTAGCCAAGTAGATATTCCCTCTTCTAGTCTTGTGAGATATGCCGATGCCCGTGATATGTCCTGGTTTTTTTTGTCACGTCAAGTTCTCACCTAGATAAACAAACTAAACTTGAAACCTCAGAGGTAGCAACCCCAATATGTACCGATGGGACATTGATGATCATTTATAAAGACGCCACGACGTTTTTTTTTACTCATATCCACAAAACGACCACTTATTGTTTTCATCGAATTTGATGTATACGATATATGTATCTGTGCAACCTTTAGCTCCACCGAAATTAAAATATACAAAACTTGAAATGCTGATTTCAATGGAGAGGTTGCCAGTGAATGTTTGAGAGGCAGAAGCACTGTACGTTGGCTTTAACACGAACATCATCATCATCGTCGTCCACGATCATTCCACTGCTGCATTACAGGCTCTGCAAGCCGCCGCCATTCTCTCGTGATCCCTGCTACGCGACAACCCACCACGGCACTCCGCGCGCTGGGCCGATTTCAACGGTAACCACTCTCCGCTAAAATCACGGACGTTCTTGGGCAACGAACGTCACAGGCTCCCCCCTCCCCCCCACCCCCCCTTACCTTGCAGGAACATTTCTTCGCCCTCCGAGAAAATGTGGTGACACCTGAAGCATCGCGCGCAGCTCGGGTGGTAGCGCTTGTCCCCCGCCTGCGCGAGACAAACCGCAAGGCGATGCCGAGGGTTAGGATCCACTCGCGACGCCGCTCCTCTACAGCCGAACGCTGCCCACTCGCTCGCTCGCTCACCCACCCGCCCACAGCAGCAGCGAGCAGAGGCTGTCACGTATGCGCCCTGACCGATTACACTGGTCAACACACTTTTTCTGGCATAAGGTATTCCAACGGTTTTAAGGTAATTTTGGGGTGCTGATTCCAAATATGGCATCAGTTTTTGTCTATCACATCAGGTTTTTGAGATATAAAATATTGCATTTTCAATAAAAACTGCAGAAGAAAAATATTTAATAAATGTGGATATCTACATAAAATGATATTATAAACACACTATCCTAAAAATACAGCACCATATTTTAACACTAAAGCAGTCACTGACTCGCAAAAAAACTTGCAATCATAAGTGACAGAGTTAATTTTGGGTAAAATCAATGAAAATGGGGTATGCCGAGAGCATAAAAATGATGTGATAGAGCAAATCTGAGATCAGATTTGGAATCAGCACCCTGAAATTAGTCTAAAACAGCTGCAAAAGTCCAGGCCAGAATTTTTTTTTTGACCAGTGTTAACCGCCTGCACCGAGAGCAGTGTTTGTGCGCGTTGTAGCGTTCGTTTTTGTTGTTGTAGATGGTCGCGTATGCGACACCTCTTCACATTATCGCCGGTAACTCAGTCCTCGACGAGTTTGATGTGTGACATGGTCGTCTATTAGAAACTAAATGTGTCTGACTGTGAGTTATTATGACAACCACAGGACTTGGTTGAGTTGATTTCGTTGGAGACTTTTGTGAGCGCTGTCTTATGATGAACTAATCATGTCCTATGACCTAGGTAACAAAAAAAGTGTTCTTAAAAATGTCCACCATGCTAAACTCATGGGGGTATTAGTGTTGGAAACTAAAAATCCCATTAATGTGGTGGATAATTGGAATCATTGCGAAGACCAAAGCTATGCTTATTATTGAATATGCCCAATATTTTATTATTCTTTTATTCTATTACACTTGTCACGTAACTTTTTAAGAAGGGTCCTGCCAAGTTTTTACAGTAGCTGATGATGACGATGTTGCCTTCTGTAAATCCAACTGAGTAATATGCAGGTAATTTTTTCAGCATTAAGATGTTTGGCCAATACCAGTAGTTAACATTGGAATACATTTCGATAGGCAAAGATAGAAAAATAAACTGTGTGACTTCCCCTTTCTACTGCTTTACTATATTACAAACGAAGGACAATTAATGCTTGCGCGTATTTTGTTGTTGTTGTTGTAACTCTTGAGAGTAAGCTTACAGGGTGGGACAGGAAACAAACTACTGCAGAACGAACTATCGGCAGAATGTGCTTCACGAGGACCCTTGAATTGAGAACAAGAGAGCAGAGAGAGGCAGACGGATGACGGCAGCCACTCCACGCTCAGCCCGGATAAAGCCACAGATTTCGCCTCTTGGGAGAGGTCCGAGTTGTCGGCAATCAATACAGCAGCACAAAAGAAGCCCTCTGTAAAACCCGCACAGACGCGCCTTCTCCGGCGGACGAGGAGGACGGTATCTCCTCTCTGCCGTGGCCGTGTGAGGCGCGGCGGTGTGAGGCGTGGCGTGGCCAATGCGGGAGAGAGAGCTCTCGTGAATATGTTACGCAACCAAAAAAAATTAAGGAAGAACGAGAATAATGGCAGTGGGGAAAAGGAACACGCACACCGGATTAATGGACCGCAGATCATCGACTTAAGACGCTTTTGAGCAACGGACACAAAATCAAATAAAAGCTACTGGCGACAGCAAAATGCAAGCAGCCTGTGGTTGCTGAGGTTGTTATTTTTTCTCCCTTCTTCTCCTCCAAATCCTCAGCGAGTGTAACTCTACACCCCACTCTGCAGCGGGACCTCGCGCACTAATTGTGGCATCTTGAGCACCGGGGGGGGGGGGGGGGGCACGGGCTTCACGTTAATGACCAGTGACCGGCAAGCTCTCAAGAAATAAGGTACTCGATTTAATGAGCCGCCACATCACGTGGAATGGGCCCGGCGGAATGTTGCCTGCAGCGAGACATATGTTGAACATTTACCCCCATCAAATAAATGCAATTAATTTACATGCCTTAAAATAGACTCAACAGAACCGTAAACATTCATTGATTGCGACCCATGAATGTCGCCCGGTTAATGAACATACACGCGCGGTGCCACTTACGCCTACGCAAACTATTGGATGAAAGAGCACACGGCGAGCGTGCCCATGGTCTAGCGCGCTCAGGATGGTTCGTGATTTGCTACGAAAACAGCGCAGGACGCTGTTCGCCCGTGAAATATGGAGGTAGGAAGACACGAATCTACAAGAAGGCAGAAGCGGGTTCACAGCTTTAAACCTCATTTTGAGGAAGACGTGGGTGGGTTGGTGGGTAAGACATGAACAGTGCCTGCGCGAAAGAAAAAATTATACGTGATCAATTTTCACGTGACTGTCTGATGCTGCTTGGCAAAATGCTTGCAGTGCTGATTGTTTGTACAGAGTGTGTTTGCAGCAGACGGCACGCTCTTGACAGCGGCTTAGCTGTATAAACAACTCGATGTAAAGAAAACACCAGATAATCATTAGCGTTGTTGTCGACAATGTAAATAACAAAACAGACCAGGGCGGACTAAATGTCTCTTTCGTATTCCTGTCTCTCAGAAAATAGAGACTACTACGCAATCAAATCGGCGCCACGGCCTGCTGCTCGGGCGGTCTCAATTCACGACTCGTTCGCAGATAAACTCGTGCGCGTGTGGGTCACGGTTAAGGTCAAGAGGTGATCGCGGGCAATGCCACTGAGACTCGATCCCCCAGAGTTGTTGTAAAGCTGACGCGTGACCTCCAAGGTATGCCCTTGAAGCCTCCCCTGCCATCTGCCTTCTGGACGTCGCTTTTGATCGCCCACCGTCTGAGTGTCACTGCGATGCGCTGTCTCGGTCACCTTCCCTCCTCCACCCTCTGTTCCACCCGCCGCAAGCCTCCTACTCTTCCCCATTGCATTTGCAACGCCTGCTCGCAAGTGCGTCTGATTATTACTGAAAACACTTACAACAACAAAAACCAAAGCCATTGTAAATAGAGAAAGATGTACGGTTGTGGATGTAAATAGAAATTTCGATAATTGAGATTCTCATAAGCTGAGGGGATAAAATTAAAAGCTAATCTAAACTATTCTTTTACCAGGTAAGGCCCACTGAGCTATATAGCTCTTTTTCACACGTGACCTGACCGCAAATGATAGCTGAACGAAGTGGTTTATCGCGTGTGAACGCATAACAGCCAAATACTCTAAACGCACGTTTATAAATGTGGAGGGAAAAACCGAAGGAGCCAGAGAAAATTCCACGCGACCACGGGGAGAGAGACACGCAAACTCAAAATATACAGCACGTGTCAAGGATCGGGATTGAACACAGGACCTCCTGTATACCAGGCGAGATAGTTAAAATCTCGCCACCGTGGCTACGTGAAACACATGGCTGGATATAAGACGAACACAATAAAGATAATCAAATAAATATTCAGGTGACACAAGGACACGCTGACGCGCGCACGCACGCGCAGACACACCGCTAGATTTGATGCTTGAATGGATAAAGCCAGGAGGAGGACTCTAACGTGCGCCTCGCATCTGACCCCCCGTAACCCCGTCCACGGGGCTTTTACAGCTGAGCCCCCCCCACCCCTCAACTGCATCTCTGTGCCTCCTGGGAACGTCGCGAGAGAGCGACTGGCGCCCAACACAATGCGCCGCCTCGGCCCAAAGCGTGCGGCCTCGCCCGTAAACCGTAGGCAACTAGATGAACTCCTATTCTTGGGTTTTTTTCGGTCAAGTCACGTAGGTAAAAAATTAAAATTAACTACTTACTTGATACAGCAAGCGTGCTGTGACGGTTCCACCTAAAGACGGAAGCTTGTGTTGCCTCCGAAACGTCGTTATTTTAATTTTATTTTTATTTCATTCATTTTAATTTTTAATTTTTACCTACGTGACTTTACCGAAAAAACCCAAGAATATGAATCCTTGCAGTCACGAAAGCTTCAAATCGAGATGAACTCCCCCATACGTCTGCCACTGCCTACTGTGTGACCGAATCGTCGGGGCGGCATGCGCACGATCACGGCAGATTTCGGATGCTGAAGCATGCTCGGATATCCGCTTGGATGGGAGACCAGCATGCAGAAGAGGCTAAGCTCTGTGGATGGCAGTGCAGTGAAAAAGAAGCCGCTGCTGCACTCGCTGAAATCGTTAACCTAACCGATTCGATGCCACCGATCGTCGAGCACGGTTATTGAATAAAAATGGATACATATGCGAATTTTTTATTTCCCTTCTACGTGACTTTACCGAAAGAACCAAGAATATGAATCCCTGCAGTCACGGAAGCTGTACTCGCATAAAGATGGTCTTAAAAAACCAAATAAAATAAATAACATTTTTGTTAAATTTCGATTTAAAGCTTTCGTGACTGCAGGGATTCATCTTCTTGGTTCTTTCGGTAAAGTCACGTAGAAGGGAAATTATAAAATAATAAAAATAAAACAATAAAATTCTCACGACGTTTCGATATCAGCACAGGAAAAAAATTATTGCTGTGGGTTTCACACCTGATGATGATTGCTTGTGTTGCAATCGAAACGTCGTGAGAATGTTATTGTTTTTTTTATTATTTTATTATTTCCCTGCTACGTGACTTTACCGAAAGAACCACGCATAAGAATATGTCCGTCTTGTTTTTCTACGCTCTCGCATCTGCGCACTCCAAAGCCTTCACCAAATTGCACTGGCAGGTGCAGCCAAGTATGGTTAAATAACCGCCTCAACGACCCGCACGGCACGGGGAAGCCCTCATTCGGCAGGGGGTGGACACAGCAGGGCTGTACGTGGACCGTGCCATCGAGGTCAACGTTGACCTTTTCACAGTCTGGAAAAGTGGATATTTTGCACGAGTGCCGCGAAAA